TCCCACGCCTGCCACGCAAAAGACGCGGAGACCAAGGGACGCCAGGGCGTACATCCGAGCCCTTGGCGGTGCACATTGTCCCACGCCTGCCACGCAAAAGACGCAGAGACCAAGGGACGCCAGGGCGTACATCCGACCCCTTGGCAATGCACATTGTCCCACGCCTGCCACGCAAAAGACGCGGAGACCAAGGGACGCCAGGGCGTACATCCGACCCCTTGGCGGCGCACATTGTCCCACGCCTGCCACGCAAAAGACGCGGAGACCAAGGGACACCAGGGCGTACATCCGAGCCCTTGGCAATGCACATTGTCCCACGCCTGCCACGCAAAAGACGCGGAGACCAAGGGACGCCAGGGCGTACATCCGACCCCTTGGCAGTGCACATTGTCCCACGCCTGCCACGCAAAAGAGGCGGAGACCAAGGGACGCCAGGGCGTACATCCGACCCCTTGGCGGTGCACATTGTCCCACGCCTGCCACGCAAAAGAGGCGGAGACCCAAGGGACGCCAGGGCGTACGTCCGACCCCTTGGCAGTGCACATTGTCCCACGCCTGCCACGCAAAAGAGGCGTACATCAAATAGTCCCACGCCTGCCACGCAAAAGAGGCGGAGACCCAAGGGACGCCAGGGCGTACATCCGACCCCTTGGCGGTGAACATTGTGCCACGCCTGCCACGCAAACGAGGCGGAGACCCAAGGGACGCCAGGGCGTACATCCGACCCCTTGGCAGTGCACATTGTCCCACGCCTGCCACGCAAAAGCGGCGTGTATGAGTGAGTGAGTGTGAGTGAGTGAGTGAGAGTGAGTGAGTGTGTGTGTGAGTGAGTGAGTGAGTGAGTGAGTGAGTGAGAGTGAGTGCGTGTGTGTGTGTGAGTGAGTGAGTGAGTGAGTGAGTGAGAGTGAGTGCGTGTGTGTGTGAGTGAGTGAGTGAGTGAGTGAGAGTGAGTGCGTGTGTGTGAGTGAGTGAGTGAGTGAGTGAGAGTGAGTGCGTGCGTGTGTGTGTGTGAGTGAGTGAGTGTGAGTGAGTGAGTGAGAGTGAGTGATGGAGGGAGGGAGGGAGGGAGGACGGGAAGGAAGGAAGGAGGACGAGGAGGAGGAGGAGCGGATACAGAACTAAAAACAAAAACCCCACACGTCAATGTGGGGAATTAAAAACATGTTTGGAAAATTAGGTGGATCAGATTCTCGCAGGTAAGACAAGTCATAGTGCTAAATGCTGAAGAACCGGTCATAGAAGGAAATTGAACACAATTCACGCATGGACCTTTGCTGCGGCCACAGTTTCTTGCACACTTTCCAATTGCACGCGTCCTAAGCATATCGGTAGCTAAGATCCGTGAATGCGTGTTTCTATAGCCAGCCAGTTTCAGTGCTAACTGTAGCTCCGAATCCGCCAAAACACCAGCCTCACCGTTCATCATATGCTTCCGGATGTGAACAGCATCGTGGACCATCTGTGCGCAGCAAATTGGTCTGTCCTTCTGTCCAATTGGTCGCCCATGATCTGTGGAAAAACATGGAAAAATCGTGAAAAATCGTGAAAAAAACGTGATCTTCTTTCTGAGGTCCCTAAGGCACAATCTTAAACTCAAAGCCAGCGCACCGCTTCCCAGCCTGGGTATCGACCTGAAAGGTTGCGGGTGCCGATCTGATGCGGAACTCATTCACTGAAAGCTTCAGATTTCGGTATCTGTGCTGCCTTTTCTCTTGGGAATTTTCCATGGTTACAAACTCCACCTTTCCCACCCGAAAATGGTGAACCTTCCGGATCCGGTTTTGCTCGAACTTGAGTAAATCCGTGGACCTCAATGGGGCGACTGGACGACCGGGGAATCTTTTCCACCCACTAACAACTGGGAATTGGCCTAATGGATCCTTATGGCAAGAAGCACTTCAACAAGTCATGTTCATGTACAGTAGTCCAAAGTCAGATCTCTGATAAATTGGGTTCCGCCACGATTGAACAGATTTAGTTTTTGCGTGGTTAACAGGTATCCAAGAATCTGTAGCCACGCTTTTTAACATACTCTGGGAAGCTATGCGCTAATGAGTCCAGCTATATGGGTTTGGTGACCACGACTTGAGACCAGCTGATCAAGCGGATGAAGACACAGATGGTGGTTACTGGAGCATTTAGCGACAGGCTGACAAGAACACATGGTGTTCCATCTGCCAACAGCTGTGATGCAAATGGGGCTTTCCATAAATGGAGGTACCCCCAAATGGATGGTTTATAATGGAAAATCTATCTATAAATGGATAATTGGGTGGTACCCCAATTTTGGAAAACTTCAAATATGCACGTTTAAAACCAATACTCAACTGTTGGAGGTACGCATCGTCAAATTCATCCAATATATTCATTGAATGTATGGGTTTGTCCAATGTATGGGTTTGTCTAAAATGGGGTACTCCCAAACTTGATGGCAATCGGTTAATCATGATTAATCATCATTTTCCTAATTAAAATAGCAATTTGGGCGGGATACACCGTTTCTATCCATTGGCGAATCTGTGTTATAATGATTATTATATAATATAATTGGGGAACTCATAATTCTCACAGTAATCAATGGGAATTCCAGGATCCTAAAATGGAGGTACTGTACCATATAAGGCCATATTTTGCTGGGATATTCCCTTACATAGGCCTTACATAGGCCTTATATATGGTAGGTACCTCCAATTTAGGTTCCTGAAATGGCCATTGAAATAACGAAGTGACATAAATTCATCGACATATCTACAGGTGATGTGGTGATTTTTTTTGCCCCCCAAAGCCTAAGCAGGACACTGTAACTCATCCAACGTCACCAGCTCTTCGTCCCTTGGCCAAACTAAAAACAGTGCCGTGGGGGCCGACTCAACAGGAAGGATACCTCACTGGTGAATTCTTAGAAATGCTTAATAGTTGTTAATAATTAGTGGTTAATAATGTTGGTTAATAATATTGATTATTGTTGGTTAATAATGGTCAATACCCTCTGGCAAACTAACATAACTATGGAAAGATCCACCATTTTTGATCAACTATAAATGGCAATTTTCAATAGCTTTTTGTATGTTTACCAGAGGGTAATGGGGAAGATGATGATAAACCGTGGCATTTTGGATTTTGGACTTCTAACATTATGCAAAATGACATGAATCCATCCCGGTGAGGTGACCCCCAATGTTTGACCTTGTTCAGTATCATTCAGTATCTATTTACATTGTACATCTTTGAATACCACAGTTCAGAAGCAGTATCTACTATTATCTACTATGTGAAATAAGAGCTAGACCATTTTTCTTCACCTAAGTTTTCATCAACCATCCCAACCATCCCGCTTGATGGTTCAGGTTGCGTACCCGGTGTACCCCACTGGGCCCTCATGCGGACGGCCCGGCAGGGAGCTTTCGAAGGCGATCTTTGGAGGAACCTGATCACTTGTATATTACCATATGTCGCACCATTATCATCCATATATATATATTGTGTATAAACTAGTATACTTTAATTATAGAGTATGGTTGATGTATATACTGGTCTTTATATATATATACAATTATATACAAAACAGATGTATACCGACATAGATACATAATTACATTGCATACATGTGCTGCTGGTGGATCTACCACTGATGCCTTTTACTAATGTCAATGGGCACAAGATGGGCGCCCTTTAAATGACCATTTGAATCGGGAAAAATGGACATGATATGATGATCAACCATGAAATTTGATGCTTTTCCATAATCTTTCAGACAATTTTCAGGGACCGGAGCATCCCACTTCGAGGTGCGAAAAAAACATCTTTGACCTAAACAAACCAGCCAAAATGGTAATATGTGGGACCTGAATTGTACGTGTTTTTTCTCCCAAATACCCCGGATTTTTTCATGATTTGGATCCCAAAAGTTCCAACCTTCACGACTGGAATGTCGGGACCCTCAAAGGCTTCCACTACCTGGACGTGGAGAGGTCTGAATTCTTGCTGCGAAGCGAAGCCCCACTCATTCTGAAGGAGAATAAGTATCAAATGTGTATTTGTGATGATTCATGATTACTGTATTTACGGATATTTATGAGATTTTGTGATCTTATTAATATATATTAATACATTTACTTGATGAAATGGAACCAGGTCCTCAATTTTCTGAAGGTGTAGGAAAATGCATATAAATAGACATTTTTTATATGTTTGTATAATGTTACATAGGTTCGATTCAACGTATAAACCCGGGAGATCTGTGACCTGCCACCATCCCCAGATGAAACTGTCACAGCCTGGCCCATGGTTTTCCCCTCGGAAATTTCAACATACGGTGGATGGTTGCGAAATCCGATAAACCACCATGTTTACCACCTATCAACTGGTGCAGGATTTCTTCCATCCACAGTATTTCAACATGGAACATCCGAAAGTCAAAATGTGGACCCGGACCGGTGGGATGCTTCACCATTGGGATCTGAAAATACCCATGGAGACCCGGACAGAAAATCCAGTCAATCACAATTTTCCCTGTCCAAAATAAGAAATTGCCGTAATTTGAGGTTTGAGGGTATCCCCATGTTCAGAGCCAGTCTTAACCAAAGTAAAAGCCAGTCTCTCAGCCACCTTCATAGGTTTAGACGTGTCCATCTCTATCCTTGCGAGTTGCAGTTTCATGTCCTCCGCAGTGCTGCCCACTACACCACTAAGAAGGGCTTAGAAAAAACCATCCATCATTGGGGTTGCCTTTCGGATTGCTTGGTTAAATCATGTAGAATCCGCATGTGACGAAACATATTTGGGAAAAAAGGATCCACTGGAATAGAAGTTGTGATGAATTGAGTTGTATAGCTGCAGTGAAAGTGGCCTCATTTTGCTAAGTTCAGAAATTCAAGTTCTTGTTTACATACATATATTTAAGTATATGTATATGTATACATTGCGACTCCAGATCCTTTCCAGTTCTTTGGGGAAAAACGATCTATTCGTGGAATCTGGCACAGGCCGCCGGTGACATGAAAATCATTCTCTATCGCGAACCAACCATTCACATCATATCCCCCATGTTGTTCTACCTCTAGATGCTTTTTCTGGCCCAATTTATAGAAAATAACTTTCTTTTTTGAATGTACATGGGGATATGAACACCTTCCAAGAAAATAAAAGACCTGTTTCCCTACGCAATGCCCTCCAGCCCTCCAGCCTTGGAGAGGTCCCCACAGACCCCCGGGATCCCCCGGGATCCCCCGGGTCCTGGTTCTCTCGCTTCAGACTTGACACTTGGTCATTGAGACGCCTGAAATGTGCCTCCACATCGGTCAAGGTTTGCCTTGGCCAGCTATGACTGTTTGATATGTTTTGATAGTGATTCTTTGAGGAACAGCATGATATATGTATATACAGTACATATATCTATACTTATAGTGCATATATATATATATACAATTCCGCAATTTGTTCAACATGCCCATCACTGGCAGCATCCGTTTGTCACCACAGAATGCTTATGTTGTGCCGCAGATTAAAAGGGAAACTGGCATTGTCATTCATTGTTGAATTCGACCAGTTCAAGAACAAGCATTGCAAGTTTTTGAAAACGGAGCACCTGTGACAAAGTCATTGATGCTGAGCTACAAAGAAATATTGGCAGAAGACTGCTGACTTGATTTGCAGTGTTGACCAAAATGGATGTATAGAATGCATTGTCAGCATTTGTTTCACTTTTAGTACCGCCCCGGTGTGCTACTGTAATATTGCTCGACGTCTCATACAATGTAATATTTCGTTTTATGATCTGTGATTTGATGCAGTTTGCACCGCTTTTTGAGCAACTGCCCAGCCACCTATGGACTCAGCATGGTCATGAACATCATAGACAAACAGCGGTAGTGGAGATACCAACTCAAGAATTCAATCTGGGCGTCACACAGTGGTTCCCAGCCAATTGTTTGGGATATGATACAGGCTTTTTGGGAGGGCAGTTCGGCAATTTTGAGAGACTCCAAGTACCGGCTAGCATCAATTCACATGTTGAAACAAAAACCATGAAACTAATCAGAATGAACCATAACTAGGATAATTTAAATCAGAATCATTAAATATCAACATCATTATCATTGTTGATTCCTATTAATTGGATTTAATTGGTTTGTGAAATATCCCATTCCATAGCCAGGCAGCTGGAGCGAGCTTGGCAGGGCCATGAGACCCGTCCCTCTGGGCGGAGCCTGCACCGATTTCAGCGGCCCCGTTTCGGAAACGCTCAGCTGCTTGGTGGGAGACCTGGGGTTTATGCTGGATATACAGTATCTAGAGTTAGTGGGTTATATATATATAGTTACATAAGTTATATATATATATAGTTACATAAGTTATATATATATGACCCTCACCCTCATATATAGATAATTATATATATACTACAGTAGACATTTATAGACCAACTATGACAAACTTGAAGCCTCATCCTAAATCATCACAACGATATGCTCATCATTGGGATCATAATCCCAAATATGCTTGGACATATTGGAAATAAAGAATATCTGCAGCCACTAATCAGAAACTTCGACAAATGGAAGTGACTCGAACATGTCCAAAGCTGAGAGCCTTTCCACTTCCGGATGAAGGGTTTGACCCAAACAGTGTAGTGACTGAAGGTCCAAAGCAGTTTTTCGGGGCAACGTTCCGTTGCCAGCTGTGATGTTTTCTGATTGGGCCTTAGGCTGCACTCAGAGGGCAACCAAAGCGATAAGAGGCGATGGAGAAGATGTTGGATCCTAAAAGAGAAAATTTGCTTAAGAAATCCTCCGCCCCGGCACCGCCCTTTTCCAGGGTTTGAAGAACTTCTGTTGATCAACTCTTGACACCAAAACCAAAAGAGGCATGGCTCTAGATGCTGTGCTTTCTTTATTTGAGGCGGATCAATGTACAGTAATCACTTTCTTTGAACATGGGAATTTGCAGGGGTGCGTGCAGAAAACTTTCTGTCCATGCATGTCAGAAAGTCATCTGGGCATCCTATGACCACATCCAATCTAATGCTCGAGCCAAACCACCAAATGCACCAACATGAGAAGATCCAAAATCTCCAGATCTGTGGCGGCCTTATGACCTGGGCTTACTGGTCAGTTGAATCAATTAGAGCAGTGCACAAAAAAGAATCTGTTGCTTGGCCGCTGCAAGTGCATATGCATGTGCCCATCTGGCTTAATGTGTGCCTGTTTTGGGGACTTCTGTCAACACATTCTTATTTTGGGACTTTTGTGACAATTGGATTTGTCTGATAATCGGGTATCCCCAAATTTGATGATTGCTTATAAGTCTCCCAGAGAAACATTGCATGTCTAGGTATACACCATTTTTCAGAGAAACCCAATTGTTTCTCTGCAAGTAGCTTGATTTTTTCAAGTTCCGTGTGACACCTGACTTGCGCTGGCACCATCTTTCTTGCGCTGCGAGCGGTATCCAGGTATGGTTGGCTGTTACCAGAAAATCCATTGCAGCTGCCGGCTGTCACCACTGATGTGTTCAATGGATTTCTAATGGATTTTCTCCCAAGCCCGGCTAGGAGCTTGTGGCTGACAAAAAAGGGGCAGAATGAAACCGTGAAACATAGTGATATATAATATATAGTGATATTTGATATTCAAATTTTATATGTTATATAAAGTTATATACTATTATTGTGTTTCTAAGGTACGGACTATATATGACTGTACAACATTATGTAACCAACTTCTGTAGCACTTCACTCTGACGAGCCCCTGAAAACTTCCCTTCGTTCCTGTCATACGTGGTTATCACCAAAGCCCACACGCAGGAAAATCAGTACGGCAGTAATGGCAGTAGGATAGTCGCGCGATCGCTATGGCTGAGGGCATTTGTTAAGGAAACCATTTCTGGATTCATGGTGGGGGTACTGTGTTGTACTAATCATACACCTCGAGGGTGAAGGTGGGCGAGACAGTGGCAGCCGCAACGTAACTCAGCGGCGCACCGTGACGTTGCGGCTGATCATTCGAGAAAAGTTTCCAGGTTCTGATAGCGAAACTTTGAATGCACCATTCTGTTGATGGAAGAGTTGCTGCACAAGTTGCGAAATGGTAAAACCGTGGGTGAAAAATTGGGACCCCCGATTCGAATGGGTGATAATCACATTTACTGTCAAAAGTGTGGATTTATGGGGTATGCACCATTTTTGGATCACCCAAATATCAAAAACATTCAAAAACTGTCAACAACTCATTCGGGGTTTCATTTACAGCGTGGTGCAGGATTTCTTTCATCCACTTTGGTGCACCCAAGTTCTCCAAACAATGGCCGAAAATGGGGTAGCCCCCCACTTAAATTAAGACTTCTTGGGGATTGAGCCATCTGTTGGAGTTCACCGCCAGAAGCCGGGGAGAACCGAGGAATCTCTACAAGTCAACGATTTTTTTTTCGCTTCACCCATGGCCAGCGGCCAGCTGGCGCCAGCTGGCGCCAGTTGGCTGGGCACACGGATGGGAACTCAACAAATGCAGCTCTGTTGCCATGGGTCAAACGTGATCAAAATCAATGGGTTTCCTACAGATGGGGATAGAATTTTCATGGAGACCTTCTGGCAATTTAACACTTTGCCATGGAAAATCCCCATGTTTCAAAACGCTGGGTCATCTCACGGCTATTCATGCTACAGAAACATCCCTTGTAACAACAGAACTTCAGTAGTTATCGCGCAGCTATGTGGATCTCCAGCGCTTGACATGTTGTCATGGGATGACTTCAACCTTGCACCGGAACTGTGATCATTTCCCTGCGATGGGCTCAGACTCGATACGGACTGTTTGCATCTGTTTGCCGTATTAAAACTGATCATTTGCTACTGGGTTCTGCAAAACAATAGTAGCAATGTACAAAAATGCATGGTGCACTGTAGTTGTTTGTTTTGATATGGACGTTTCCCCCAGTATCGTTGCATCTTTTGTTGTCAATATACCTGTGATGTCCAATGACCTTTTTGCTCGCTCCCGCGACCTGAGGAATCAGCAGAGAACCTTCTGGAGATCCAATTTCCTGCGTATCTCTCTCAGATTGGGACCTCAGACCTAAGCAGAGCTGTGGTGGGTGAATGGCCCGTGCAATTGGGGAGGTAAAGAAAATGCAAGCCAGTAGACTGCTGTTCATCTGGAAATCCCAAAAATGTTGGCAAACCAAGTATAAAGCATATACGCAGTAGCAATCATTATTGCCGAAAATCCCTCTGTGGGGCGCTACTAAATTGCACTTAGCCAATTCATTTGCGCTTACTTTGCCCAAAAGTTCCTTTTTTCTATTGCCTATGCCCAAAAATCTACGAAATAGCAATCATTTTTGACACCTTTCTTTTTGGGCAATACTAAATTTAATTTCTTTCACGAATACGTAAAATATGCTGCCCAAAAAATGATCACTTAAAGAATACACCACGGTATAGTCAATGATACACCCTATTTCCCAGAAGCTGGTTTTGAGGGTAGCCAGCCTCCCTCAATCAGCTCACCTTTGTTTTCTTGCTCAGTGGTCGCGATAGCTTGTGACACAGCAAACTCTCGATCGGAAGAAAATCCAAGCAGATCTAGCTCACATCAAGCTTTTCTTGGACTATATAAGCTTTTTCCCCTGTTCCCTTTCCTCCTTTTCCCTTTCTTTTTCCTGATCCAAAAAAGAGTTGTTCATTGCAAGACCTGGTTCCTCGATCTCAAAAAAAAGGGGTGGTATTGGATTGCCAGCAGTACAGCAGTTGCCTAACTTATACCACTTCTGAAACCAATGACACTATTCCAGTCTACAGTGGGTCGCCTCCGGCCTGCGAAGGATTGTCATGATTGTTTCCAGGTTTTTGAACTTTTTGGATGTACCCCATCTTCACAAACATCCATATATCATGTTATGTTGTGTATATATATATAATACTATATATACAATATGATATATATATATATCCCAAATATATTTGGGATGTATACCATATTTTTGGACCACCCAAAGGTTTCTCATTTTGCCACTCTTCTTCGTGAAACCAGCCATCACCACGGCAGGCCCGAACCACGACGACTCAGCGTCCCACGCCACGGGGTTGCAGCAACGTGGCGTCGCCTGCCTTCTCGGGTTTAGGAAAGAGCACCTGGCCACGGAACGGCGGCGATGGGTCCACCCTGGTGGCCCTGGAAGAAATAGATGATTTTCCCAGCGAACGATACCTCCATTTTTTTTCTTGATTTTCCATGGCTGTTAAATAACCAGATGGTACAGTAGTTGGGATACACGTGGATCATTTTCCCAAAATATGGTCTAGGTCTTGACCCATCCAATGTGTCAAAACCTAAGACTCTTTACCAGTATTTTTTGGGGGATGTGACCAGAATAGCTGGAAAATCTGGGGACTACCATATGTGGATATGAATGGGAGGATGAACTTCTTCTGCGCACATCCCAGTTATTGTTTGGTGTGAAGACTAGTGGTTGGTTTTTGGCCGCCAAACACCTGGAATGATGGTCTTCACACCTATGGACCTATGGGAAATATATAGAAATGTGAACTGTGTGTGGAAATATGATGAAGAAACAGTGGACGTATGCTGAATTTGGGAAACATGTTGAGGAAATGACTTGGCAGACCATTGCTTCCATTTACCTGCAGGTTCTTCTCCGGAATATGGAACACATCATGATGCAGAAGTGGATTTCCCTAACTTATTGCCATTCTGATTGGGATGGAAGTGGGACCTTGGGGGTTTCCCCCAAAAAAATCCGACCATCCAATGTTGGACTGGTGGGTAACCAATTTCAGGGGTAGTATCTTCGGAGCCCATGTCGTCTTGACATATCTATTGGATCCTGTTGGTTGTTCCATGTTGTTAACTAAGGATTATCTCTCTATAAAAATCAATCAAATATTTGATCAAGACTGACTCATCATCAACCACTACAAGTACCTACCTATCGGATCCGATGTTGTTTGGTCTATGTCGTTCTTTTTTGGGTGTGGGGGTTGTGGTTACCGTACCCTTCTATTCATCCATCACCCCCTCAAAGGACAGGCTGAATCATGCTTTCACAATCTGAAATATCTGAAATCAGAAGATTGCGAGGTGGTTTTTTCAGCTGTTGTTGGATCATCTTTGGGTATTCTTTGGTTATTTAGTTCTTGATGTGCTTTCCCCTTCAACAACCAGCAACCATGGCCACCCTGGTGACCACCCCACGCACCATCGGCATCACGTTGTCCCAGTCGGTGGTGATGAGATCGGAGCATGGCCTGCGGGAAATCTGGTGAAGAATGGGACTCCCAAAAAGATATGTTTTCCTATTGGCTGATCATAATCCCCAATATAATTATATATATACATATATATATACACATATACGTATATATATATATATACATGTATATATATATACATACATATTGATTGGGGAGTATAATCCCCGAACTACTCATCAACCAAGGTTTTGAACACTGCTCAATTGAACTACCCTCACTACCAGCAAAAAATATTGTATAAATTTAAATGGGGGATATTGATGGAATAGACATGGAGACACCCTCTGGCAATCAAACATGGCTAGCTGGGAAATCCACGCACTTGCCATGGAGGTTTAGTTGGTAAAATCATCAAACTGGCTGGTGGATTGATCGTCCAGTGCTGTATATATGGCAGTTGATGGATAGGAACTGATAAGAACCAAAAACGGAGACATTGAGATGTAGAGGAGATATTCAGGAGCCTGGGACTTTTTTGCAAATTATCTGATTTTACTGATTTAACATTTACATATATGTACCATATATGTTATGTACCATTGATTCATATTGATCAAACATTCTGCAGATCCTGTCGCCCTCAAACGCTCCAGGGCCCCTTTTCAAGGGCCCCTGGGGCCCCTGCTTAAAGAGCCATCCCGTCACACGCTCGCGGTGCCAGCAAGTACCACACCTTGGTGCCAGGCCTGGCCTATTGGGAGATGAACTTGGGGCCTTTCTGTCACCATTTTTCTCACCAGTTTTCATTTTTTTTGCAATGACGTTTTGCGGGATTTCGGGAGATTTCGGGAGATTTCGGGAGATTTCGGGAGATTTCGGGAGATTTCGGGAGATTTCGGGAGATTTCGGGGTTCAAAGCTTCTGTTTTTTTGCGGAGATTGAAAGAAAAGTTTGCCTCTGGCGACCTTCCCTTTTTTGGGAAAATCCAGAGCCCATGGTGAGCCCAGTTGGTCAATGTTGGTGCACAGCTGATGAGGAACTAAGGCCCAGACCAGCCATCGATGCAACCATACTTGATCTCCTGGTATGTGACATGGCATGGCTAATACCAACCATACACATAAATAATATGGTAACGACATCTAATGACATGGTACACATCCATAAATTTCAAGAAATAGATCATCTGATTGGTCTTGAGGACATAATTTCAGTGGGCATGGAGAACTGCATCACCTTTTGGAGGGGAAGCTTCACCTTGGTGCTTTTGCTGTCCCAGTAGAAGTAGACGATAGTTTGAGATTCTGTCTTCCTGTTCAATGGTATTTTCTTGGAATTCAGGCATGTCCTTGATCTTATAGCACCGTCCACTCCTTTCTTTTCTCGAAATGTCCCATTCTGTTGATCTTCGTGTCTTGCAGGTCTCCGAAATGTCGGAATGGGTCAAAATCATTCGCCGACCAAAAACATGGATGGTGAGGACATGTTAGGACTATCTAATAATCCAATTATACTATGCATCCATGTACTATAATTTTGACTATGTATCCATCTAGTACGAAGTACCCATATTAGTACATATTAGTACCATCATCTGATAGTACTATAATCAACAACCCATAGTACTATAATCATCTAATAGTACTGTGTATCCATGTGCTATAATCATCCATGTACTATAATCCTTGTAATCCTATTCACAGAAAAACATCTCTTTTCGCCAGCGCTGTCCCGGCCAAGGGCGAACTCCACGGCTGCGGACAATCTGCTGTTTCGACCTCAAAGGGGCCCCTTTTTATGTTCAACGCTGTGTCCATGTGGAGGTTTCCTAAAATTGGAGATACCCCAAAATCATCCCTTTGAATAGGTTTTTCCACTATAAATTACATATATATATATATTATATATATATTATATATATATATTATATATATTATATATATTATATATATTATATATATATAGCAACCATTTTATGGGTGATCCGAACATATAAACCATGAAATAAACATAAATAAACCATCCATCCATTTGTTGCTACCCCCATTTAAGTGGAAACCGCTGGATGTGTATCCCCAATGGAGGTTTCATTCATCTGGGATGATATCACAGCCTACCACCTGGACAACCAAGCTGGCACTAATGTGGTAAACCCAATAATCTGGGTAAATTATAATATTTCAGTAACCTGAATTAAGGCCCATTTGGGGATGATTTCCCTTATTAACTATGATTCCAGTGAGGTCGCAGTGAGGTCGTTATAATTTACCCAGAATAATACACCATCTCCAAAATTCACCACAAATGGGATCAAATCCATCCCCAAATGGTAGGTGAATTGGCATTGGCTTTTCCATGGTTTTCCACACCACTGACCATTCACTAAATCAAAGTACAAAACACTCTGCTCTGTTGACACATTGACATCACAGATCAAACCCAGGTGAAAACCCCTTCCATTGGCCTGACCAGCTTACCATTTTTTTCACCTCCTGAAAATCAATGAGAAACCAGGAGAGTCCAACCGCTATTCAACCTATTCAACCTTCATTTTACCCTCTGGTAAACGTTTTCATAGCGGAAAATCACCATGTTTGATAGGTAAATCAACTATTTCCATGGGCCGTTTTCCAGTTCGCTATGTAACAATGCCAGGGGGTACATGGGAACATGGCCTATTTATAGTTGATTAAACATGATTAAACATGGTGATTTTCGATAGCTATGTCAGCCATTACCAGAGGCTTTCGGGAGCCCCACGGACAGTGGCGAACTCGCCGCCAGGCATTAAGACCACCTGGTACGGTATACCCGGAAACCTCTGGGAATGGACTATTACTGGATTTACTATGGTTTACCACAATATAAATCAATATACAATCAATAGCGGATTTATAGATTTGTATAGATTTGAATTTGTATACGATCAAAAAGTAATCTGGCACGAAGATTCATCCAATCAAGACATATAATAATCATCTAATATCGTTTTGGTTGAATTGATTCTGTCAAAAATGATCAAAAACAGCATTCCCAAGATTCACATGACAAATCAATCGAATGTCAACCAAAAGCGACAAGTGTCATCAAACATCAGTGGAAAATCACAAACCATCCAAGAGATCATCAGAAAACAAGCAAACATAAACATTGGGGCAATCATAGGAGATGTTCAACACTGTTCACCTCTTATTTGAAGCGCGACCCGTGCCCAAACCAAGGACCCTTTGAACACGCAGCACATTCCAATTACAATGATGGGCTCGGACAACAACTTCTAAATGAGATTCTCAATGTCAATAAAGTCCCAATTCTGTAAGGCCCCAATCATGGTAGCAGGTTACATCTAGTACCACAGTTAATTACTCCAGTTCTGGCTGTCCGGGATCAGGCCATGCCTTAATGGGCCCCAGTCGTGTGTTGCGACACAAGGTCAGGGAGACCCTTAGTGGACGCAGATTGCGCGCCGTGAAAAACACCACATCCAGGTCCCCAACGGATTCTTCCAAGCCGTGATCAGCGTTTGGTTTGTCAAAAACTTGGATATGATATACCCTCTGGTAATTTAACATAACTATGGAAAATCACCATTTATAGTGGATTTTCCCATGAAAAATGGTGATTTTCCATAGCTATGTAAACGTTTACCAGAGGGTACCCCAAAATCATCCAAAATCCAGAGGTCTGTGGGTTTTTCAGACATCACGTTCCCTACTGACATAGCCATGAATTATCATAAATAGCCATGAATTATCATAAATAGCCATAAATAATTGTTGCCCAAGCATTGGTCATTTTGCAGTGAACCTTCACTTTGGACTGTCCATGATCCCGCAGAAACGTGGTGCAACGTGCAATGCTCTGATCGTTGGAATCTCCGCAGTTATCTACGCTCACCATTGAACAACCAACGCGTACCCCTTGCATGGGATTTGTCTGAAAATAGCGTACCCGGGTACCCCAAATTCTATGGTTTATCTTCATTTTAGTCATAAAAAGGTGCCTCTTATGGCCACTTCGTATCCCTCCTTTTCAGACACACCCGCAAAGAAAAGGTGCAGCCCCACATGAAGTGACATGCCACAGGGAAGTCACAAAACTGAAGTCACTCAGTACCTTTACCCTCCAAAAAAGTAAAAATGCGTTTGTCTGAGAATAGCTATGGTTCATCATCATTGCCTCTTAGTTCATGGGCAATTTGCCGGTCGGTGCCTTCTTTTTCCAAACCCAAATGGGTCAAGTGGTGGCACTTTTGGGAATCACATCGTCGTATTCGTCAGTGACTTGATCCATGGCATTTGAGGCTATTGAGGTACCATATATATATATATATATCTGAGAATGATGCTAAACAACGTTTACCCTCTGGTAATGGCTGACATAGCTATGGAAAATCACCATTTATAGTGAATTTTCCCAGGAAACATGGTGATTTTCAATAGCGATGTAAACGTTTACCAGAGGGTAACCGTATATGATGATCCCAACATAAGATACAGTTCATTCCGCATCTGTGTATCTCTTGATGATGCAAATATCAGAATCTTATTGGCATATATCATGCGAATCAAGGTGGCATCATTGTCATTGTGGATGTTTAGGAAAAACTGATTGAGATACAGTATGTTGATCATATATATGTGTATATACATTATATATATACGTATATATGTGTACATATGCAGGTGTACATGTGTGCATTATGTATATATGTCTACTGTATTAATACATATCATACTTATATACTATACATTTATATCTTTATAAATGCCGTTGTGGATCCTTGGAGTTGATATTATGTTGGGCCATTGGGTCCTCCTGCGAATCACCCTCCGACTCGCCAACTATCCTGGCTCCGGGTCAGCCAAGGGCAGCGGAGATGGTGTACATGTGTATGATATGAGTCATGTACCCTCTGGTAATGGCTGACATAGCTATTGAAAATGGCCATTTATAGTGGATTTTCCCATTGAAAATGGTGATTTTCCATAGCTATGTTAGTTTACCAGAGGGTATCAATATGTTCACGTCACATATCTGAATCTATGTATGAATCTATTACATATGATATGGGTATTTTCACATATCTATAAATATATTGACGGATATTAATATACAAGTGTGATGATGCAGGTATCAATAGATATTGCATGGTAAAGTTCACTTTGGTATAGATAGACATTGGATTTGATATATTTCAAAATTGGGTGTCTCTACTATGTTTGACTAAATAAGACTGTTCCATTGATTTAGGGACTTGTGCAGTGTTGGGCCTTGATTGCTAGCCGAGCGGGACCATCCAAAGAATATGCAACTCTCCCTTGCATTGTCTTTCTAGCTGCTATTCCCAGGATTCAAAACAAGTAGCCACCATCAATCTAAATCCAACTGCCCTGTGGTAAACTAACATAACTATGGAAAATCACATTTTTTTAATGGGAACATCAACTATTTCTATGGCCATGTTCAATAGCTATGTTAAATTACCAGAGGGTACATGGGAAAATCACAATTTCTAATGGGACAATCATTTATAAATTGCCATTTTCAATAGCTATGTCAGCCATTACCAGAGGGTACATGTTTGTGAATCGCTGGCCAGATGCCCCCCGAAGGACACCCCCCAGAGATATAAGGCATCATGTGTGGTTAATGTGGTCATTAAACACCATCAATCCCTATTGAAGGCGTTTTTTTCGCTTGCATTCTTTGGGGGGTACCATTTTTTCGAGACTTAGATTTACCATTGGCTAGACCATCCCGGAATGTTTTTTCATTTGAATGTTTTAAGCAAACACATAAAAACTTGGTGCTGATTGTGGTTCATTACCCTCTGGTAAACTAACATAGCTATGGAAAATCACCATTTTTAATGGGAAAATCCACTATAAATCATCCCAACTTTTGGCCGCTCCCTACCCTGGGACCCTGATCTCCACCTTGCGATGTCATCAATGGATGCATCGACTGTCTCTATGCCATTCACACCAATGATCTCAGCATCGCGGGACATGCAGGTGACATGCTTAGTGACCTGCAACAGTACCAATGAATGCATAGGGAGATAGACACCCACACATGTATATATATATAATTATATATATATCGGAAAGGACTGTTGTGAGCGGCAGAATCCACAAGTTTTGGGGCAGAATAGTTTCATCAGAATAGTTTCCTACTACCTGCCCTCACAAAGAGTCGTTTCTGACACATGTCATGGCACCACGTAATTACACTACATCAGTCATCTGCCTACATCTGCCCTACATCTGTCCAATTACACACATCTGTTTCCAACATCTGCCTTCACTTTAAAACAGGGTTGTAAAAAGTGACTACAGCAAGAACTGGTCCCAACCAATGACTCTATTAAGGCATTTGCAGGATCCTGAAGTGATCAAAACAGCAACCCAATCACCATCACAATTCATATTATGTCATATGAATCATCATGATATACGACTATTTGGGTTGTCGTTGTAGTAGCAACGACAAAAATGGATATAATACCCATACATCATGTGGGTAATGGTTCATATGGATTCATATCATATCATATGGAAAAAAAAAATATACACTCAAAATTGCGGTACATGTACCCCAAACTCATAGGTTTCCCCGTGAAAAAATGACATCTGTTGGATGATTTATTTGGGGGGTTCCCAATTTGAAGAACTTCCCATATGGATCCGTATGGTTTTATAGTATGTACCCTCTGGTAAACTAACATGGCTATTGAAAATTGCCATTTATAGTGGATTTACCCATTCAAAATAGTGATTTTCCATAGCTATGTAAACGTTTACCAGAGGGTAATACCGGGTTCGTACTCCGTACCTGGCACTAGTAAACGTCATCCATTGGATCATCCTATGTACAGGCCCTTACCAGGACGTGAGGCTGTTGCCATCTGGCATAGATGGAATTTCTAAGTGGCTCAATGATACAGAAAATATCTGGCTTAATATAGTGATAACAAAAGTAATGAAAATCACATTCCCCCTTAATTTTTTTAAATACCTCCCAATCAAAAGCCTGGTCTTGTATTGGATCTGTTCATGACTTGGCCCTTGAATGGGGGGTTGTTCAAGTTGTTCATATGATCGGGGAAAGAAGCTGTCCCTATATTTTAGTGGTTATTTTGTTGCTTATATCCCGATATTTGATATATTCCCACGTACCCCCTGGCAATTTAACATAGCTATTGAACATGGCCATAGTTATAGTTGATTTTGCCTATTAAAGATGGTGATGTTCAATAGCTATGTAAGCGTTGACCAGAGGGTATATAAATCTCCCCATATTTTGATGAATATCGTTGGCCTCCAAAAGGGCCACAACTTGCGCTTACGACATTTTCAGAATCCCTATGGTTAATTTTTCCAGAAAATCTCCATTATATCCACAGAAAAAAGCTGGTCAAATCTTCATCGTCAGTGATATCCCCCTTATATCCTGGTTGGTGGTTTCAACCCCTCTGAAAAATATGAAAGTCAATGGGAAGGATGACATCCCATATATCATGGAAAATAAAAAAAAATGTTTGAAACCACCAACCAGTATCCCATGATATGTCCAATTCAATTTTTAGGACTATCTACCTATAAGTTCATTATATCTTAAATAATATCTCCATTGAATCCTATCAAAAAGTTATAAAAGTTGCTGAAATCTCCACCAAGTTGGTAATATGTTCACAATATCCCATGGTAAAATTCCAGAGATCTGATGGTTAAATCATGTTAAATCCCCATATCAGATATATTCAGATGGTCAATCCCCGAATTTCCCATGACTTTCATGGTTAAAACATATGAAACCCAGCATTTTTCATGGGGAAATCCCAGACTTTCCCCTATATAAACCCAGTGAAAGCTGGGTGAAATCACTATCGCCAGGTCACCCGATCGCCCTCCAAGATCCACATCCCTTCATCCTCCTCTGTGACACAGACCTTCCTCGGCTTCGAGTTACCGTGGCCACCACAAAACAAGCCACAGATGTGGAGCTAAGCATCAAAAACTGGGATGTAACTAACCTGATGCAACCAATGAAAGTGAGATTTAAATTGCTTTAACATTTAACGACCGATCATTGAGATTTACCAACAAACAGTGGGATTCAATCAGAAAGAAGTTTGATTCTAAGCATCTCGACTTGGATATCACCAACAAAATTGCAGGCACTGATGGCCATGGGAGCATAAGTTATATTTACTGATGGCTGAGGAAATAAAGATCCAGCTCCCAGCAAAGGTGGGAAAAACTCCTAGAATCTTGACCCACACTGCCAGCCATTGACAAATTTAGGCTACGGAGTGGTGAAACACGAAGTTGAACGCTAAGCAGCGTTTATCAGGGGACGATGTGGCTGCATAGATCTGGCTGACAATTCATGTCCGAAGATGTGGGCTGATGTGGTGACCAACATCTGTGATTCTCATTGCCTTCAATTTTGACCCGTTCCAGGGATCATTGCCGCTTTACTCTCTGAAGCCTTAGTTAACTTAGTCCTTACAACTCAAGACCCTGACTGTCCCAGAACCTGCCAAGAGGCTTGTTAAGTTCATAGGCGTTGCCGTCCTGAACGATCTCGCTAATGCCAACGCCTGCCCAAAACATGAGGAGATGGCGCATGAGCTGCGTGCCCTGCGTCGACCTCCGATCCGAGGCCCGGACCCCTCAAACCGCCTGGCGTGGCGGGGTATCTCAGTGGATGAAGACACGGCGGAATGCCGCAGGTTTGTGGTTACACTTCTCTATTGGTTAGATCTGGCCAGTACTTGCAGCCATCCTCTTCAGAAAGATCAAAAAACACTTCCTACGTGTGAAAGTGGGTTGCCTTCATGGTCTTGTCTTGCTGTGGGAAATGTCTGGAAGACAGTCAAATATGATGTATGGTCTGCAATGCAATGGAATGTCTGTCAAGCGTTGCAGGATATACATATATACATATGCATATCCACCTGTCCCCATACATATATATATACACATTGCAGTACTCATACGGCTTCTACGTCTTTATTCATATATATATATGTATGTATGCATGTAATATTATATATACATACATACACATTATAAGTGTCATGCTGATCTGCTGGGGCCTTTCTTATCTGGAAGGTACTCCAGTACGATGCCCATGGGCTTTTTGATGGTGACGTCGAATACTGCACGGTCTCCACCTGATTTGAGGTGGAAAGTAAACAGCAACAAAAACCCAACCTTACCAGCAAATTTTGAGATAGAATGGCGATTTGCTGGGGATATTGGAAAATGGGATTATATGTTCACACATCTTCAGCAACTAACATATGGCTTCTATTGTTACTGACCACTAAAAAAGAGTGATCGGCTGATCCACCAAGTATCACCAAGTCATAGGATGCTCGTGTCACCACCAGGGTCCCCGGGCTAATTCGTTTCACCTTCCTGAACCATTCCACCCTGGCGGTGAAGACAATGCCGTGGACGCCAACTCCAGAAATCTGAACTTGGAGTTCTTGGATGCGTCTGGGATTTGATGTGCATAACTCATTATATTTGAAATAAGCTGTTTATATGTACATTAATTGTATAAATAGATGTAAATATGTATTTCTAGATGTAGAAACGAAAATATGATGGTGCATTGGAAGAATTTGAACTCACCCAACCTATGAGCTTCTTGACTGAACTTGACCTTGCCCCAAGTTGGGGACCTTCCTGTATGATCCTATGTCTGTGATGAGAAGTGACGTGATGTGATGTGACCGAACGTAATCTAACGTGACGTGACTTGACGTCACGTAACTTAGCAGAACAGAATACAGTATGTGTATGTATATATAATATGTGATAATATGTGATACAAGTAATATGTGATAATATGTGATAATATGTGATAATATGTGATAATATGTGATAATATGTGATAAGATGTGATAAGATGTGATAATATGTGATAATATGTGATAATATGTGATAATATGTGATAATATGTGATAATATGTGATAATATGTGATAATATGTGATAATATGTGATAATATGTGATATTATATGATACTGTATATGCAGGTAATGTATATCAAGTCTTGCTAACACAAGTCCAGGGCTATCAGGCTACCAATCTCACCTCTTCATACCTCTTCGAGATTCGAGACAATGTCCCGATCAAATGAGCACACCCTGCTGGCTCACTTTCGCGACCACATCCCATGTCGAGGTTGGTGAAAGCAACATCAAGTGAACATCGCTCTGTTCCCATCTGTTACCCCTAATGTGAAACGTAACATTAGACATTAGACACTTCCCCAAACTAGATACCCTCTGGTAATTTAACATAGCTATTGAAAATGACCCATCTATAGTGGATTTTCCCATTGAAAATGGTGGATCTTTCCATAGTTTTTTGTATGTTTACCAGAGGCTACCAGTACCTCAACTTGAGAAATTGGCACCGGGAATTCTCCTAGCCTGGTGGCACGCAATGCCACACAGCTCTCCGTTCGGCGACGAAGGAGTGCCTATTGCTGGTTGGATCGTTCCGGCGACATCGACATATTCCACAAACAATGGTGAATAAGGAAGTAAATAGTATGTAAATATATGTAAATAAACAACATAAAATGGAATAAAGGATAATAAAGGACTGTTTTTCCCATCCATTTTCTGATGTCCACTATGTCAACGGTGAATGTTCCCAGTTCCAGTTCGAAATTCTTGGAACCGAATGATGGGGTTTAAACCTAGGACAATGCATTCGAATTTAACTGGTCATTTTTTGCATAGTTGAGGAACCAATATTAACTTGTGCTCAACTATGGACTATCAACCTCTGATCCCACCATTCACTGATCCCACCACCAAACATGACCAAACCACACATCTCTCCGTTTCAATGGCTTGGTTCAACCAATTCTGGGAAAGCCCTAAACCAACAGAACTGGTTGATGGGTTGAAGCTTTTGTCAACATAAAATAACACGCATTGGGACTTCCCATCCCAAGTACCGAACATGAAAAACATGATAGGAACATATAGGAACCCCAAGCAGTTAAAATATGTTGAAATCAAAATACAAAACAACCCGCTTCGACGGTTTCTCTGTTATTTTTTCAGCTGAATCATCCACCTGCCAAGCCCTTGGCTAGGATTCTGACCACTGCGGAAGCGCCCAAGGCCAATGCTCCGGCCGTGGGAATGCCAAAGCCTGCCTGCCATTTCATAGCACGAACAACAAAAATCAGAAGCACACCCTGGAGTTCAACCCCCGAAAGTAGTGGTTCCTAAGCCCTTCAAAGAGCTAAAAATTGGGGGGTCACCTTAGAAACTTGAGATTCTCCGGAAATCGATGTGCACCTCCGAGGATGTCTCTGGGCCGGTCCGTCGTTCACCTGCCAGATTTCTTGAAAAACATCGGGGAAGAAATGCCATGGAATTAGTGAAACTTGCTATTTGCCCCAAAAATTGGATAGCAGTTTACCATTTTGCCATTTTGGAGATGTTTCTAGTGGATTCCTGAAATCTGAGCATGTTCGAACCGTTAAATATGTCTACTTCCGCGGCTCACTAGTGGCATCCACAACTTGTTGCGATATGTCCCCAGGCCCACCTCGAAGAGCCCGCAGCGTTCCGCGTTGCTCGGCCACCCGTGCGCCGCCTGGACGAAGATCCATCCAGATCTATCCGGATCTATCTTTACAGATCTATACAGATCTATCAAATCTATACAAATCTACATATCGTATCTAGCTATCTATCTATCTAACTAACTACCTAACTAACTAAATTTGCTTACCTTTCCTTACCTTGCCTTACTTTACCTATATACATGTGTACGCTTCTGTTATCTATCAGATCGTTATATATACATATGATATATATATATACACACCTACCTACCTACCTACCTACTGTAACTATGATCTCGATTCCTTACGCGATGTCCGGATCCATGTAATATGCGTTGTACGGACAATTCATGGATCTCCGTTTCATACATCTGAATGATTCATTGAATCAACAGATTTAATCCAACCTGATTTATACGCAGGATAACTCACAATGGCATACAATGGCTCTGTCCACGGAATTGACCGTCTCAGCTATGGGGTGTCGGCTGTCGGCGAGGTCAAATCCAGAAGCAGATCTAGTACTTGATACTGCAGCTTCACAATGATTTGCTTATCTTTCGGATCTCATTCAATCTAATCTAACTCCATCCACTGGGCATTATCTTTGTCAATGGTGTATATATATATAATAATGTATACATAATGCTCACAAAAGGGAAGAACTCAACAAAAAAAACGTTTCAAAAACAAAATGGTTTAATACCAAAACCATGGCAAATTGCCGTAGAAAAAGGGGTCCCAACGGGTTCCATCCCCCGTTTTTCAAGATGGTCCAATAGGATGTTTCAAGAAATGGTCGAATGCTACACATCCATCATTACCCGGTCATGGCTGTTACATAGCTAATTATAGAACATGGCCCAGTCGAAATAGTGAGTTTTCATGAGTTTTCCCATAGCATGGTGGATCATGGATGATCATGGTGGATCTTTCCATAGCAAAAAATGTAACAGTTTACCCTCTGGTGAACTAACATAGCAATGGAAAATGGCTATTTATAGTGGATTTTCCCATTAAGAATGGTGATTATCCATTGCTGTGTTAGTTCACCAGAGGGTACCAGAGATTACCAGAGGCTCGATGCGAAACATCTCCATGGCCCTGGCCTACGAAGCTCAGACTTCGGACCGTGGCCAGCGCCGCAACGGCCGCAAGGACCGCCTCCCGGGGCTGGGATGGCGTGGCTGATGGTGGCTTCGTGGGCTTCGCAACGAGGGAGGTCAAACGTCAAAGATATCTGGAAAAATGATGAAACATGCTGGATATATGTGGATCTAAGATGATTTAAGCCTGAAAAATGGGCATTTAACTATTTTAAACTTGTAAAGATGAGTTGTTTTTAGCATCAAAACTCTGGATTTGACATGATTTGACCATCAAAAGTGGAAACTAATAACGAATGGAGCGGCGATCGGCTTGAAGTAGTAAACCACATCGTTCATTTTATGGGTCTCACACATGTTGGGCACCGAAATTATGAATAGCATTGAATAGCTGGATGCAATCCCCAAGCCCTATGAAGATGCCAAACTCTTTTTGGTCGTCAAGTCTTCAAGTCTGTGCAGCTTAGTCTTGGCCCAAAGCACGAGACCATGATGGGACTCTGTGCCGAGCATATGGTACTGCTCGGACATCGTTCAGAAAAACCTCGCTGAAACATAGTCATCAATGACTATCAATGATCATGAATCACATTGTTGATCATATATTCATACATGGGATTCATCATTTTCGCTAGTTAAATCCCCATGCCCTCCCATGTTTGACGTTAAAGTCCCCATCAATAACAAAAGCGCCGCAAAGCTGGCATCATCCGCCTGCATTCGGCTGAACATGGCGCTTGCGCCTTACTCCTAGCCGATGGAAGTGAAATAGGGATCTACAGCAAGCAGTCAAATTGGGAGATATGCATAATAAACTGGGGGATATGTCCGGGATATGAGGAAATTTCATATAGGGGGGCTTCCATGTCTGCATGCTGGACATTTTTTGGGATCTCCCATTGCCGGATTCGACAATGCAGTCCTTGACTCTGCCCAGTGGGCCCGCAGCGTTTACGTAAAACGTTGCGTCACGCTGGGAGCCAAGTGTCAAAGGTGACGCCAGGTTTATCCCGGATGGGCCAGAAAAATCTCTTCACATCCTGACTATCGCTGTGAAGTAAAACTCAAGTAGAATGAGGGTGTTCCCTATGGCTCTCGTCTAACTCAAGGTCGGGGCCACATGGCTATGGCCAAACTCATCAGAAACTCGAGCCATGACTACACTGTTGAAATTTATTTCATCAGCTCAGTAGCTCCATTTTCTTCAGCATTTCCTGCGATTATGCCGACCGCCGACAAAATCCATCTTCTGAGTGAACTTCGTCAGGAAAAATCGTCACTGCAGATTGTGCAAAACCGCTTTGGGACGGCAACAAGGTTAAAACCTCTAACTCTTAGCCATGATTACCATCTGGTTATGACTAACATAGCCATGGAAAGATCCACCATTTTTTATAGGTAAACCATCTATAAATGGGCCATGGCTTCCATGGCTATGTTAAATAACCAGAGGGTAAGCATACTAGATCCACTTACAGTATGTCTCAACTCAACATCGCTGGCTCGACTACATGTCTGTTGGCTGGACAAAAAAATCCGCTGAACCATCTGAATCTTCAACAGCTGCGCTTGTCCGCTGTTGGATGCTATGCTTGTGCCATCTTTGGGATTATCGCAGCGGCCCTGCGGCCGCGCGGTGGGGCATGCTCCGCAGCTCACCCTTGGGCCTCAACGAAGAGTCTGAATGGAAAACCTGAACTTTTTGATGTGCGAAGCCCAAGTAATAATCCTTACCCGGGTTACCACTTGATACCACTTGTTTTACGTTCTGGGTGGTTTTTCAAAACCATACCGGAACTAAACTGGGGTTGACCACATTATTAGTCAATATCCTGTATAGATATTTCGAACAGCATGTGAAGTGCGTGGTTCGAACCTCAAGCCACGGAGCCCTTGTGGCAAATCCTTTAAGGGATGATCTTTGAGTCTTGCACGTGTTTGATGACATCTTCATTTTTATGGTAGATCATGGTAAAAATCATGGTAAAAATCATGGTAAAAATCATGGTAAAAATCATGGTCAATCCACCCTTTTTCCCATGGGTTGTTGTTCACCGTCTAACAGAGATGATCACATTCCAATTGCTGAGACCCCGAACGCTGGGAGTTGACTTGGACAATTCCATCTCTTCCTGCGGGCAAAATGGCTTTGGTATCTGAAAATATGGAGGAAAAATCATGGAAAACACCATGGGAAACCCCCAAATCCAAGGGAAAACCCTGGGAAACCATGGATTCTCTAATGGGATGCCATTCCATTGTGGTAATGAAGATGATGGGTCCAGAATGTTTTCTCGGAAAAGTTTCTTCAACTTTTTCAGCCGGAGGTTCCCTTAGCTACAGCTACCCATCCACCTCGTTCATGTCTGCATCGATGTCGCCAAACAGAGGGGTGGACAGGTAGCGCCTTGCGGATGATCATCTTGCCAACCGGGAAGCGTGGAAAAATGGCAGTGGCGATCGGATCGCAGTAACCTGATATCAAAGCATACATAGTCTAGTCTAGATCAATCTAATATTCGTCCAATGTCACCCATATCAATATATATATATTATATTATATTATATATTATATTATATTTTATTTTATTATATTATATTATATTATATTATATTATAATATATATATATATAATATATATATATTATATATTATATATAATTATATAAATCATAATTAATCCAATATCTATATGAAGTCCACTCCTCAAAATTGGATCATCCCCTGGGCATCCCCAACTCAGCGGTGTCTTGGACCATGGCCACGATGGTGGAACCGTCAGGCCTCGACACGTCGAGGTGACCCACATGGCTATTTCAATTTGGGAGATCATGGAATTTGATGGAATAGACTTGGATATGTATGTATATATATATATTATATATGATATATATATATAAATATATTATATGTGATATATATATACATTGATTATATACATTGATTAAATTATGTATTATATTGATGTATTATGATATGACCCTCTGGTAATCAAACATGGCTGAGAAATCCACGACAACTCGGCTGGTGGAGGTTGATTCATAGCTGGGAAAATCATATCGAACCATGGCCGGTGAATTTTCCATTGTGAGATGCGCAAAGATACCGGGTTCCGGTTTCGGGTAGGCATGGGTACCCTCTGGTAAACATACAAAAAAGCTATTGAAAATGGTGATTTATAGTGGATTTACCCATTAACAATGGTGATTTTCCATAGTTTTTTGTATGTTTGCCAGAGGCTAGTAAAATCCCCGAACCAAATATCTGGACGGGAGTTTAGATGCAACTGCAAAAAAAAAAAACAGCCTCCAATGATCATTTGCTGCGAAATCGTACCCTTCCAACGATCAACCCAAGAGTTTCCTTAAAAATCCAGGCTTCCGACGCCTTTTTGGCGACCTGGCAGTCAAAATGGGAGGTACCATGGGATACCCCAACATAGCAAGTTTGAAAAGTAGAAAGTTGGCGAACAATTTGCATTGGTGTATTATACCAACACCATGGGATACCCTCTGATAATTTAACATAGCTATTGAACATTGCCATTTATAGTGAATGTTCCCATTAAAAATGGTGATTTTCCATAGTTATGTTAGTTTACCAGAGGGTAATATACCAACATACCATGGGATATCCCAACACCGATAGAAGAAGTTTTGGTGTATTATTTCGAGACAAAGCCCTTTTGAAAAGTGTTCACTCTCACTGCTGAAATCGCTTGAACTTTGAGATATGGGAAAAACCCTCCAACCAACCAAAAACACTGTAGAAGTAAGCAATTGCCAACATTTGCAGCGTGCCATTCCTTTCAGACCACTATAAATTCATCGCCGACTAGTCGACTAATTTTAACGACCATTGACCATCGAACTTCGCGACATACTAAAGTTACTACGACTCAGCCAAAAATGAGCTCCAGCAACTGTGAACTTACATGATTCTGGAAAATCCTGGAGTTGAGTTCATATAGTTTTTATATGTTTCTATCCCAGGTTCTGGATATATGATATCATATTATATATATGATTATCTATGTTGAAATATGTCATAAACATGTGCCGTTGTTCAACGCTTACGATATCAAGATCTTCACTCAACTGACATCCATCCCCTGGGGCTAACTCGGAAACCATCCACGGATAGACGACAAAAACATGTGCAAACCCAGGAGGAAACATAAAAAACACACAATAACCATCATAAACAATAGTTAATAGATGTTAATAGTAGTAACAACTCTAACATTCTAACAATACAACACTAACATACATTTGAAAAATTGTTCCAAAACAAACACATTCTCTCTAAGATGCCTTTGGAGCAAAAAACTGGTTCCAAATCTCAAAGAAATGTATCTTTTCAACATGGATTTACCTGAAACAACTGTACAACATGTCCAAATATGTCCAAATCCACATAGAACATCTACATCATATCATTCATGGAACATCAATTTACAACACATCCATGAAGACAGAGCGTAACTCTGGTAATTTATACATACCCTCTGGTAATTTATCAAGAAGATCAATGATCTAATTATATCTCATTTCTCAATTTCATAGAAAATATAGAACATCAAATTACATCAAATTACATAGAACGTCATAGAACTAATCATGATATAGAACAAATTACACAGAACAAATGACAAATCCCTTCTGGTAATGTCTCAATTCATCCAATCCTCAATGAAACCGCCTCCAGGGCAGTGGCCACAGTGGCGCCACCCGAAGTGCCGCAGAAGATGCCTTCGTACCTGAAACCGATGTGGCACGATGTGGCACGGTCGCACCCGACACGGTGTGGCACGGTCAAGTGCCATGTGTGGATCAGATATGTCACTTAAAATCACTGGAAATCATGGAAAAATCATCAAACATATATAAATTCATTCATTTTTTGGGGGACAGTGAGATTTTTGGACAGCCAGACCCATGTCCAAATGGTGGATTCAGAGGTGATGTGTTAAAGGTGGGTTACCTTTTGGGCCGGAGGGCTTCAAACTCGTCCCAAAAGGGCCAGCCAGCGGCTGGAAATCCTGCTTTCATCTCTGCATGTCTTCTCCATATCTATGATGAATCTATTAATTATCATTTCACATTCTGAACCACATCATTCCGGATCATTTTATATATATATATATCTACAACTACATCTATGTCACTATGTCTCCAAGCCTATAACTATTCGACATCTACCATCTGGTTATTTAACATAGCCATGGAAAATCACCATTTTTAATAGGTAAACCATCTATAAATGGGCCATGGCTTCCATGGCTATGTTAAATAACCAGAGGGGATATCTTCCCAGCCGTACAACGTACACAGAAAATCCATCAGCCGTGCTCGCTCCGCTCCTGGCCAGGTCCATGGCGGTCTTCATGGCCTCCTGAGGATCCACCACCAGGATTTCATCCGCCAAATTCATGGCCATGCCGTCCTGGGCCCAGGGGTTCTGCGATTTTTTTTGACCAAAAACCTGGTTTTGTTTGGAAGAAAAAGATCGAAAAAAATGAGGGTCCTGATTTTTTTTTTTGGGATTTGCACCCTGGTGAAAAAACTGGCAAGAAAACTTTTTGGGGGAATGGAGCATGTTTGGTAAAGACCTGGAGGTTAGATGTTGGGGATTTCCGTCAACCGCGCCTCGGTGACCTTGGGAATGAAGTTGGGGGTCCAACCTCATTTTGCAGCTCAACACAGATGGGAACAGTGTCCCAAAAAAGTCCAACTGGAAGTTCGTGCCTCAAATCATGACCTTTTAGCCTAAAGCTTTGGTTCTAAAGATGCATCGTAGGTTGCCCCCAATCCATCCCATAGTTTAGACCCCCCAAATTGAAGGGAAAAGTACAGGAACCCCAAAAAAAACATCGCAGGTACCGTGGTTTCCGGTATGTGCTCTTTAAATCAACCAGTAGAAAAATGCTGAAAATCAAGGGTGACAAGGAGATATATGATGGATATCAATCAAATGTTATGATCAGTTGAACCACTCTTCAGTGTTTAGGAGTACAGTTTTCTTGTTTTGCTTTGAGGGATTTTGAGGGTACAAATTTTTGACCCGTATCCTTCCAAGGTTTAGGGGATTTCTTGCTATACATTGTCGAACAATCCATGTTGATGTGTACCTTTGATCCTTGGGCTGCGTACCCTGGATGGGGTGAGGGCTCCAGGCCTCAGCAACGAAATCCGCGAAAAAACTGTGTTTTTTCCGCGATGACTCTGCGCAGATATCAGGGAGAAAATCTATGTAGTTCTATAATTGCACATCTATATAATACATATATATACACATATATACACATCAATCTATATATATATATACACTTGTTTTGTGGTTTCAACCTCCTGACATGATTGTAGAACAGTAGTTCTTGAGGGAAAATGTCGTCCCATTTGTTGAGATGGGAAGACGGACCTATGAACTGAGCGCGCCAAGACAAGTGTTCAGGAGGGTATGACTCATGACGCGGTCTAACCAACAAGAACCAAGCAACATTGCGTGTTGACAAACAGTTGATGGGGATACAAGCTCTCGAGATGGGGGAAAACATGGGAAAACAATCAGCGGTCGAGGTGGGGGAGAACCCAGGCGCCCCCACAGGATGTCCTTTGGCTGGCGCACCTGGATACGTTTAGAAAATTCAAATTGTGTTCACCTTCACATCGAAAAAGAACTCATTGGAACTGCGCAACTGGATAAGAAAAGTACAAATAAACCAATTTTGGATCATTTTAGAGTACTTCCCCCGACTAAAAAAACATTGTCGTTGTAATGTCGCTGTGATGTGCTCTGTCAAAAACCAGAAGAATGGTCCCTGGGGTCAGCACCAAACTTTCCAAGCACTTCCTTCCTCTCCTGGCTTCAGAAGGCACATCCCTTACATGAACGTGCCCTAGGCCCGAAACTTGAGATCTTCTGAAGTACATATTCAAACGATTGCAGCCTCCGGAAGGAATGGAAGTGGGCACTTTCAAATTCCAACTTCTATCATTTTTTGCAAGTGGCATCAAGTGGCTAAGATTCTCTTTTCTTGTCTTTTCATATATTGTGATTCTAAGCATCAAATGATTCAAATGTCAGATCTCGACATTTCAATGCCAAGAACCTGTGACCTCCATCCATTTACGGCACCTGCTTGATGCCACTGGTCAGCAGGGCAGCTGTCTGCGGCGTCAAAAGGACTCTCCAGAGGATTCCCACGGATTCCAGGTGTTTTCGGGGCCATGATTCACAAATCAGCACTTCATCCAGATTCATCCAGTATGATCCAGTGATCCAGTGAATTTAAGGGTCCCAAAAAAAAATGACAGGATGAACGAAAAAACCGCTTCTCCAAGATTTATCCAGAAGTGAATATAGTGATTTCACGCGAACGGGAGCAGCGTTTTGGCTGTACATCATGGTCGAAAAAGGTTCAGGGCATAAAATCATCGTTTCGACATGTCAGGGATCAACTGTTCTGCTCTAAACATCTTAAGGCTTACTCTGTTGTCGAGGTCGCATCAGGACTCCCCTTTTTGGACATGTCACTTGGCAATTGCACATCTTTGCATGTTCACATATTTTCCGTGGCCAAATCCACCAACCTCTGGCCGTTTATCTTCCCAGATTTTCCACCTTTGGCTCGGAAAGGATGATCTTCAGGTTGGGCCGTGCCTATCGATCATCCCAAACCCGTTGACTCAGAAATCCGACCTGGCAATGGAATTATCTATGTCATCCCTAAAAAATATCAGCTACAAATCGATGTTTCGCACCTAAAATAATAAACATAATAAGTTACATAGCTACGTTAAATTACTAGATGATAAAAAAATGTTATTGATCTATTTAAACATAATAAGTTACATAGCTACTTTAAATTACTAGAGAGTACAGTATATATATATATATATCTATCTAAGACCTACTACGCAAACCGAAAAAAGAAGGAAAAACACATGTTCCGAAATATCCAGAAACATCGAACATCTTTGGGCAACTGAAAAAAAAACATCAAAATCGATCCAGCACAGTTAGGTCCCCAGGAGTGGATCCGGAAAGTGGCGGCCGCATTTTTTGACGCGAGAATGTACTGGGAGCTGATCGTTTTCCAAGCAGCAGCTACAGTTCTCTGCGTCTTCTAAGACAATGTTGGTCCAGCGGTCCAGCGGACAATGTTGTCAAACCTTTTTTTATCTCACAGTCTTTGCAAAACTGTGAATGATGGAATAATAGATTATATTATATTATATTATATTCACAACATATCAGAAGCTTGGACAATGTTGAATAATTTAATGTGAAACTCAAGACGAAAGAAACGAATCAGAAATCGAATCACTGGAGGCTGTCTCTCGAGAAGAAACCGAAGCTCTGATCATCTCTCTCATTCAGCTGGTCCATAGGGATGACACACACAGCGATCTTTGGCAAAGGCATCCAGTTGCTGAGGGCTATGTAGGGTGCCATGGTCAAAGATGGGATAAGAACAGGCTATGGCCAGCCCACATCATTCCACCATAATGAATGGGGTTCTTTATAATTGGTATATTATGGTATATCAACATTTATATGCTGGGGTATATCATTAAATGATCATTCATGCATTAACTGTTAATATCATTGCAATGTGTATATCATGATTCAGGGATGACCCTCACCATCCCCTCATGTCTTGCCATTTTGACAAAATCATCACTGGACCTTCAGCGGAAAACCTTTCTGCTCAGTCGCTCCGTTGCGCTCGACGAGTTCCTGGTGTTTTAGGACACAAACTCGAGGCAGTCATCGTAAAAATTCACTGCATCATAGTGATTCATAGTCTCCAATTTCATCCCAGGACCCAGGATTGATGTGCCAGTTGATGTTTCGGCCCAGCCAACGCCCAGCCAACCCGGTGGTCAGATCTTCCCATCCCTGGCTGAGATCACCAAGGCGAGCAACATCGGCCAGGTCGTGCCCGCCAGTCTCCAAGCACATGTGACCTGCGGGAGGGGGCACAGATATCCGAAGATATCCTGAGGATCTCGGAAATTTCTGAATGATTTCCTGATGTTTGTTGAAAGTGGGTGAATTAACTGGTGGTTTCCAACTCTCCAACATATTGATCGTTTTCTGAAGTCACCTCAAATGGGAAGGGACAATGATAACACACATATGTGGCATATGCATGCCTGTGTAGGAATCGTTCAAAAGAAACAACATGTGATACAGTGATACAGTATATATCAGCCGTCCATTGTCTGGATTATCGATGAAAATGCCTCTTTCTTTGGGTAGTACCTGGTGGGAGGTATCAGCAATCCGCTTTGACTCAGTCACCAGTAAAGGGAAAGGGACAAGTAAACAAAAACTGAAAACGCCCATCAGCTTCCATCAGATTGTCCGTCTGCTTTTCAAACCAGACAGTTTTGTTGCTCAAATCCCATACTGTATAATGTGGAAAACCGCAAATCCAATGCCACAAAGCCACAAATCTCCTCTTTGGGAATGCGTTTTCAACGGAAAAAACTACCCATTGCTGGTGAGTCATCGGGAATGGTTTATAGTGTCGGTTTTATATGGTTTTATGAAATGGGCATGTCTTAAAAAGGGTGTCCTACCCCAAAATTCTATGTATTCTTCATAAAATGGAATTGCTGGAAATAAGGGTGCCGGTAATTATACCCTTTCTTGGACGAGCCGCCAAGCTCAAATATCATGTTGATATACCTGAATTACGTTGAATTACTGTAGATCTCCCCACTATATCCCGGCTGGCATCCCCATGAATGTTGGTTCCATCCTGACTTCTGATGGTTACCGTGAAATAGCCCAATTTCTGATGGTCAAAGGTTAACTTTATTGAACTTTATTGCTGACACCGCCGTTTCTCCTACGTAGTGACATAGTTGAAATCCCAATCTTATCATTTTTCTGGTGAAATCCCTAATTTGGATGGTTAGAAATCACCATGTCTGATGGTTAAATCATCTTACATCATCTTAAATCACCTTAACTCCCAGTTTTACTGGTGAACTCCCCCTGATTTTTCCTGATCCATCCTGAGTCCAGGCCTCCTGGGCGCAAGGCTCTCAGCCTGCCATCCTGCAGCCTGCCGCGCGCCGCGTGAAGCTCCGAGAGCTCGGACAGGCAGGGCTCGGCGGTCAGGGGAAAGGTGCCTCGGAGCCAGATCTGTTGAGGACAAATTGTTGGCAAAACTGGTTGATGTGGGCAATGTTCAATGGGTCAACCAAAAATCTGCAATGAACACGTCATTGGATTGGCTTCAGGGAAAATAGCGGACACCGATGGTTTTTACCATGAAATTCATGGGGGTTCCTGTAAATGTTCCCTTAAACCAAGCCATTGATTCTGGAAAAACTTGGGAAAACATAGGGAAATATGAGGGGATGCTGTGGGATATTGTGGGATATGCAACTGATATGGGTTATATATATATGTATTATATACAGTATAAATATATGGGGATTCATTAATGTGAAGAAATCTGGAAAGATGGTGGGTTAAGACGGTGTTGTACAATAAGACTTGTGATTTCTAAGCTTAAAGGACTGAAAATCCACCTGAATGCGGAATTAACCAACAACAATTGGAAGATAACATACGTACAACTTAAAAAAAGAGGTTGCGAATGGGGTGGTTGACTAAAATATAGAGCTGCAACTCACTTTTTCGATGGAGGTTGAACACTCAACAAATATCCAGCTTTAATGTCGATGATTTCCCTACATTTCTCCATCCGGCCATGTTTGATTTCCCGGGAAATCACCAGAATGACCCTAGGGCCCTAAAACGACCCCCAGCCCACCTGATGAGGGTGTGATAGCAACAAAGTGGCAGTATTTGCCCAAAAAAGTGTGTGAAGCAACCGGCGAGATCAGTGAGAATGTCTGGAGATGTGAGGACAATATCTGATCAATGAATCATCTTCTGGTCTGTCTGGTCTGGTTAAGTCAAGTACACACTGTTGTCCAACATTGTCTAAGCCTCTCCCAAAGTACATCTTCACCCATTTCGGACTTCCGATGGTTGCGCAGTCCACTCATCCCAAATGGCATCGGATGGCATCGGTCTTCCCTGGGACCCTGCCATGCTACCCCAATGAATTGCTAACGCGGAAGCTGCATTCAGGTCCTGCGACGAGGCCCGCATACCAAAGTTGCCTCTGAAATCCTGTCCCCAAGGAGTTCCTATTTGGTACCTTCTGAACACGTTATCGGATCGGTTGGGGAATCAGCTTAGAATCGTTGAAATCCAAACTCCTTGGTGGGGTGCTGTTTTCGAACCTGCTCCACCCGGCGGCAACATCATGTCACACCCCTTCGACGTACGGTCCTTGACAATCTGAACAGCTTCCGAAGGATCGCAATGCGATCCAGACATGAACCAGCGCGGATGATAGGCACCTTTCCAGGAAGGCACTTCTCCGAAGCTTCCAGGAAGGCATCGTCTCATCATTTCACACATATCTCAAAGAAAGAGAATCATCGACGTCCTCCTCCTCCTCCTCATCATCATCACCATCATCATCATCATGATCATCATCATGATCATGCAGGTTCTAAGAGACCAGATCCAAGATAACTTCAGATGTTCACATGTGTAATTGCTTATCAGGATTAACATGAATGTACCCACCCATCCCAATTTTCAGATGGCCATTGATCGCAATGTCCAAGCCCCAGCGCCACCTATGGGCACTGCCGCCAGCTGGATCTGGAATTTCGAGCCCAGCAAGCGGAAGACTGGACAGTACCCAGTGTCCCCCAGAAAGCACAGGGGCATCACCTTGGTTGCAGGAAAAATCATTGAAATCCTGGAGGTTTCGATGTTTTCTGATCCTGTGGATATGAGTAATCTCAAGGCCCGCCTACAGATGGACACATCAATTAAGCCATCCCAAGCCGAGGTACTTTGACTCACCCATATCACTTTGACCGATATCCCAACGACTGATAAAGCCTATAGCTGTCTGATGCTTTATATCAATTGGTATTGTACAATACCAGGAGTGTTATCCCATATCATGGTGAGTCTTGTTGCCAATGGGTCCACTTTTTCAAAGAAGCCTGTTGTAAACCGTTGCCCGGAAATGTCTGATTCAAAACTTGGTTGCTGATTTGGCTTGGCTGGATCGAAAGATGTTGGCATTCGTCTGAAATCTGGATGCAAGACTCATTGTGGGCAACTTTGTATAATCCTAGCAAGTTTGTGTGATCATATATGTTAAAATTATATCTACAAACCTGATTGGTGCAAGCATTGTGACGTGCCTGCAATACAAGGGCCTTGTCGGTTTGCAAAAAAACTACATGGTTTTGCCCAAAAACAATGAAGAGAAGATGCCCAAATTCATGACAAGGTCAATTGCAAAAAAACATACGTGCCCTCCGCCATTGATTTTTTTGGTTTTCTCCAACAATTTCCAGGTACCAAAACCCGAAAAAAAAAACAGTCGATGTCCCAGGTGCCGTCTCTTCACTTTGGAGAACGATCCCAAAACCACACCAAAGCCTTGCAACAGCTAAGGAACCGTTGTGGATGGAACAAAATTTGCGGAAAAACATAGTGAAAACACGGTATTTAATCAACAAATACCACGGATATTAAATGGGATATACACAACATGTGATATGATATATATCTGGATTGATGAGAATCCGTTCCCTCTACTATAAAAAAAGAAGCCTTATATTGGATCTATTCAATTTTTGGGGCACAGTCGTGGTATCTACATGTTCTTGATCCCTCTGCCATGAAATTGCGGTCTGTCACCATGAGTTCGAAATCCATCAGGACATACCAAGAAAAGACACCAGAAACAAAAGAACTGCAACAAGATGTGTACATTATTAATGATATTACTATATTATCATTCTGTTGCTATATTACTGTATTAATATCTATAAAGTATTACTATATTGTTCCAATACTCTGACTAGATTGCTATGTTACTCTAGTATCTAATTTGCTCTATTATCTTATTACTATGGTACTATGTTACTCTATTCCTATGTCACTATGTTACTCTATTACTATATCAAGATGTTACTATATCATATCACTATATCACTCTCAAACCATATATTGGTTCATATCACTATATCATATCACCACTACCAGTATATGAATGTCAGGGACTTCTCTGGTCACACCACGGCCAGCCACGTGGTGTTGCGATCCCAGGGCCATCGATTGGCCCAGTGCTGCGCCGGCAGCGCCACCACGGCGAGATCGTCATCGACGGCGACTTTCTGGCGATCGATCAGGGCTGCGTTCAAAACCCTCAGCTGGTTGGTTGATAAATGTAGATAATCATTCCCATGTATGTGTATATATAATATAATATATAATATATATAATATAATATATATATATATACATGTATAATTATATATATATACGTATGTATATGTATATGTATGTTCTCATATGTATATGGCGATAATGTTTTGATAATGTTATGATGACGTTATGATAATGGCATTTCCCAGGTTATGGATTGTTAGGACGATGTTGCCACAGAGCCTTTCTCGTACGGATCCCGACCTGAGTGTCTCTTGAGTGTCTCTTGGATTGTGATAGTCTCCAATATATTGTATAGCATAAGAGTATAACGTCATATAATCCACCAACAGGGAGGTTGAACACTGCTCAAGTGACGATAGCGATTCCCATACTGGATGAACGATAATCCATGGAAATGCGCAATAGCCATTGGGTAGTGTAACTTAAATAAATATAGGACCCTTTTTTCCACCAATCGACCAGGTTTTTGGTCACTAGTGGTCACTGCTCAATTAATTGCCATTCAGCGGATGTGCTTCGCCCTTTTTCCCATCTCTCCCTGCTTGAACCCTCCCATGGTTATGTGCAGCCCCACTGAATGACTGAATACATAAATCATCATAAATCCCTCATTGAACATCATTGATCATCATTGGCGGTCCATCTCCCCTGGTGCTTAATCACTTACATTTCCCATTTTTGGATCATTTTGCTGCGACATCTCCCCATCATCTGGGTCCCCAGCCTGCCACCAGTCCATCTCGGTCACCGTTCCGACGTTCCACGCGGCGAGCCAGGAGCCAAGGCCCAACGGAACCAGCCACCGCATCGCGGGACGCCGCTGGTGGAGCTGCCTGCGACAACAGGTCTGGGAATGAGGTCGTGCAATCCATGGAGGCCCACTGGTGGTGACATATTTTGATACCAAACATTCGCCTTGAAAAAGAAACTCCCTTGGACTTCACACGTGAGCTGGGATACTCCCCTCTGCCTCACAGTGGCTTCATCTAGATGGTCGTAGTGCGCATGGGAGATCCTAAGTCTTTGAGGCTGTGGGGGGCGAGACCTGATCAAAGACATATTTTATTGGGATCAATTTCAGGAAGCTCCAAGACCATGAAAGAGAGAGAGAGAGAGAACTACTTTGAGCGTTCTCACTTCACATTTGCTTCGCAAATTGGAATTACATCCAGCTCCATCCAAAGTTGCCAACCAGCCAACCATTTTTGGTTGGCCAAATCCCTTTGTTTTTTCTTTGAATCTTTCCCCATCTTTGCTGGTGAAGCCCCCATGATTTTCGGGGGCTTGACATCCCCAGCCATGGCCATCCCAGGATCGCCACCACATCCGGCAGCAGATCTTCCGGCCAATCGCTGAGATCGGCTTTCACTGGGCTCTCAGTGAAGCGTTTAGGGCCCACGAAGGAGAAAGGCGAACACCTGTCCCGTTTGGGATCCTCAAACACCAAAACGAAGGGGTTCCAAAAGGATTGTCATACATTGTCATACCCAGATATATCCAGAATGTTGCTCATCCAGTTTGGAACCTTTCTTTGCCGACCTGCCTTTCCACAGATGAAGTATGATGGAATCTATGCAATCACATTGATTTATCAAGATTTATCAACTGGCAAATGAAATTGCAAAACTAGATGCTCTCAGGCTCTTGGAATCTTGAAGAAAGAGATGGTGGTCAGATCGGTCAGGTCGCTCGCTTTGTCGCGCTCTGAATCACAGCAAGCATTTCCAAGCCATGTATCTCTAGTTTGCTGGGCTTGAGATTTCCAAATCATAGGACTGACACAAATCCTTTGAAATACTGTGTATGAGTATAATATTATATATATATTATCATATTAATATCCTCATTGCATTGTCTTGTCTGAATACATCCTGCAGTTTTCCCTGCCTCTCAGAGAAGACTGGATCAAAGAGGAACATCTTTCCGGCCTCGGATGGCAGTTTTTCAGTAGTCATCCCAGGTGGGAAGAAGTTGAAACCAAGCAATTTCGCCCAGAGATCCGAAAAAAATATCATCAACCATCATCAACCAACATCCAACAGGGAATGGATCACAACATCCACCCCTTAGTTCGCCACAGATTCCAACCACAGATACCGGTTCCATGGACCCACCAGTTACGGGATCGATCCGCAGCGAGGGGCATAGATCCCCAGAACCGAGGCATGTCCCAACCAAACAGCCACAGGTCGGGTCTCCTGGAAGTGGGTGAAACCAGGGGAAAACGGTCAAAACCGAAAAAAAACAAACCTGGAAACTAAAACCCAAACATAAATTGGTCTTCAAAGTCCGACTGAATATTATACTTATAGTATCTTATAGTGACATTGGTGTTGACTCACAACCACAGGAGACGCTCTTGAAACCATATGAGATCTTGTTGTTCAGTCATCCAAGTCTGAGTTGAAATGAGCTTACATGACGGGAGCATGATGCCTGAAAACGAAGACATGTTCAGTTCGGTAGGCAACCGAGCAGGGCACACATTGATACCTGTCACTTCATTGCCGATTCTACTTTGAAGTGCACCCACAGTAGCAATGCAATAGATTTGTGGATAACATGTGCTGTATACCCTCTGGTGAACTAACATAGCAATTGAAAATGGCCATTTATAGTGGATTTTCCCATAAAAAATGGTGATTTTCCATTGCTATGTTAGTTCACCAGAGGGTAGTATCTTATCCCTGGTTGGAAATTCTCTGCTTTCTAGGGTTTCAGCGCTGACCTCTGTGTCGTGACATCTCCAGGAACTTGGGTTTTCCGCACAAGCGGGCGGATTTAGCCACCATTTGTGGCAACACCCCAATCCCCATCATCAGTGTTCCCAAAAATCAGTTTCATGTGAAACAGATTGAAACAGAATATTCAGCCATGTTGGTTTATTCAGCAAATCAGCATCTTGGAAACCACCATAACCTCTGGTAATTTAACATAGAAATTGAAAATTGTCATTTATAGTCGATTTACCCATGAAAAAGGATGACTTTCCATAGCTTTTTGTATGTTTACCAGAGGGTAACCTCCATGGCCTTCGCATCCCCTTCGCGATTTCCATGGCCTTTCGATCTCGTATGGCCCGTAGCTGGTCCCATGCCACCGGCACTGGACTCGTCAACTGCGCACTATCTGCATCTTGGAAGATGGGCGGCCGCGCATCACGTAGCAAGCGCACCTTGGGCGAAGTTGCAGGAGATTCAAAAGGAGGTTTCATGAAATGGCAGGTGCTTGCAAAATGGGAAGATTGTGCTTATATTATATAACATGATATGTATAATAATATATGATTATAACCATATACACCATCAAGAAAAATGGTGATATGTCGTGGGACTGGTTCAAGTGAAATGTTCAGCGAACATCATGGTTTTTACGTGCGATTTTTTAATCAACAAATGTAGGGGGTCCCTACCAAGTGTTCTTCAAACCGATGCACTGACTCTAAGGTGGCATCATGAAATGCCAGTTGTATGGGGAGATACGGTGACTGTGACTTTCGCTTGAGTCTGAATGCTTTAAAATACCTTACTAAATTGCAACTTAGCTGCAGCAAACTGCAGCTCCAATCCCGCTGGGACTTGCGCAGGGGTTCAAGACATGGGTATTTCATGGTATTTCATTGTATTTCCACATGGTCGTAAGACCAATTAAATGTGCACAGGGTACAACTACCAGTCGGTGATGACACATGGTAGCTGATTGACTCCACTCATTTTCTGTAAGCTGCTGCCAGCGTGGTACTTGGCGCAGGCTTCAAATGGGAACAACAACCCAAAAGGTGCTTTTGGATCGGTGCTTTTGGATCTGATGCACATCTATCATCCCCTGGCACTTGGCTTGATGCAATATGTTGGTATGTTGGTGCCTAGTTGCCAAACAATTCTTTCATTCCTTCAAAGATCCGAACAAACTCTCCAAGCCTCTGTTCGGCTTGAGAGTCCAAGCGCCGTCCATTACAGCTCACAGTTGTTGGCCATGGAGCACCAGGAGGGCACAAGCTGAAGGCATGTTCCCCCACCAACTGGGGCTTCTTCTGCAGTTCCTCCAGAAGTGAACTCAGCAAAGTCGACATGAGAACTGTCTGGGTCAGATCCACCATCTCCTCAGTAGACAAGGATTGGATGTCCTTGAAAAGTTTCTTGGCGTGCTCCGTATCCTTGATGGAGCCCGTGCACGCGCGTTGAACTTCTGGGTTCATACTGTTGCTCAAGCCGCTCAGCAAACAATTCCCGGGATGCTTTGTTGCGCCACGTTGTCCATTGCACTCCCGGTGACTAGAGCAATAGTGCCAAAGAGATAACCTCGCTGTGCCATTGCACGGGACTTGCTCCGATCCATTTTTCGGCTGCAAGGTCTGGACAAACTCCCCAACGTCCGAGAATAAGGAGCGAACGAGGCCAAAGTCAAACTTGAAATCTTCATGATTTGGAAGTTGCTCTTTGACAGAGTCACCCTTTGTGGTAACGTCAAAGTACAATGACATGAAGCGACTCGCCATCTTCTGTTGCTCATCTTTGCCATTGCCGGGCTTTGCACCTCAAACTCAACCAACACCCAGTGAACATTCCTAGCTATCTCGGAAACCCGCATCAAAAATAGAGGTTTTCATGGGAAATTCATCGAATCATCGAACTAAATGGGCCATTTTCGCGTAAGCCATGCTTGATTACCAGAGGGTATTTAGAACAGGAACTATGATCCATAGATTGCCGATCTTTCATCGTCAGGTTGGATTCACGGGCATTCTCCGCATTCTCACGGCGTCATAGTTGGCAACCTACTGGCATCTGTGTTGTTTGAAAGGAATAATTTTCACCCAAACCATCCAAAATCAACAGCCGGACTTCTCAAAAAGCACGCAACATCGATGCGGGAGACAGGCATTTACTGGTTTGGAAATCCATGGGATCTCCTAAAATGCATTGTCACGACTGGCGCATAGGGAACTTCCAAACAACCCCGACCAGCAGATCATGATCCATTGGCTTTTTCATTTCCCAGCTGTCTTCAACACTATGACTGTGTCTGAAAACGGGGGAATGGGGTACGCCCCAAAGTGGCAATTCCGATGGGACAAATGATGCATGCCTCAGCCAGAACCATCACACAAGCCATGGACTTGATGCATGTCTATCCTGGCATCCCATGGTATCCCCGAAAAACGGATGCCAAACCGGTGAAAAATCTTCAAAAATACAGCATGTTTCATCATATTTCAACCCCTAAACCCTATGCCTGGTATCCCCGAAACATCCCCCAATCACATTGGGAAGAACCAAGAAAAACAACAAGAGAACCAGGTTCAACACGCTTCAGCATGACTCAGCCATGTTCAGCCAGCCTTCAGGGCATCCACTCCATCACCAGGTAACCTGGTTAAAGGGACCCAAGACAAAGAACATAGTCCCGGTATCCGGTATGTCCCAATGGTTTTTCCCCAATATTGATGGTGGATTAACCCAAGGGTAGAAATAGACAAGTCATGAATTCCACTTTGGGCCGATTCACAAAGGGGGCAAATGGTGGCAAATAGAAAACATATTTTTAAAAATCACCAAATTCGCCAAATCCAGGTAACAAGTACATCAACTCAGCTGACAAGAACTCCTTCCCTAAGAGCTTGGCCACCTTGTCGCGAGCTCGATGTTTGACTTCCAAAATGGTCATGCTGTCCGTGACCCCTTGGAGTGGTACAAACCTTCCAGACAGTCCTACCTGCAGCAGCAGCTCGGAACCTTCCTGTCTTGAGTTCTCAGCCATGATCCTCTTCAAGTTGTCAGAAGGCTATCTGCTATCAGCTGCTGTCAGGTCGAAAAAAACGAGGCTGTCTTGAGGCTGCACTGGCGGTAGGAGTCTTTCACATGAATCCCTCAAAAAATCATGTCCTCATTCGGAATACAAATCCAATGGGATTCGTCTTGGAACTGCAGATTGTGGATTAGCAATCACCTTCCGGATGGGCATTCCAGTTAGGATTCCGTTTCAGATTGTGGATTGGGAATCCCTGCAACTCCATCCATTGCTCTTTTGCCTCCAAGGGACGATGTCGCTGAAGCCTTTCTCGCAGGGATCCCGACCTGAGTTTTCATGAAACATCTGTGAAAAGCAGGATGAAATCAGGAAACCAATGAGAACAGCTTTCGCTTTACCGTTTTACCATGAAAACCATGAACTGAAACAAATTACTTTCATCTGGAAGTGTATGTGTATATATATGTATATATATATGCGTATATTATGGCATATATTTTCTGACATTCTATTCTGGCATTCTATCTGGCATTCTATCTGACATTCTATTCTGACATTCTACTATGACATCCTATCTGGCATCCTTTCTGGCATCTATTCTGACCTCTTCTCTGGCATTCTTTCTGATATTCTATTTGGCATCTATTTATTCTGATATTCTTTCTGGCATCTTTTCTTGCATTCTATTTGGCATTCTATGTGACATTCTATTCTGCCATTCTTTGTGGCATTCATTCTGGCATTCTTTCTGGCATTCTATCTGACATTCTATTCTGGCATTCTTTCTGGCATCTATTCTGGCATCCTCTCTGACATGGGGCGAGCGCGACATCTCAGTGGGCAGTGAATAGTGCAAACTGAGATCTGGAGTTCGCTTACCTGGCAGGTGGGGAAAAATCCGAAGCCGAAGCCGAAGTAACTTGTAGTCGTCCCAAGCTGGGACAAACGATTCGTCTCTAAGCATCTAGCTTTGGGTTTCAAGTTTGGGATGTTTCACACAGTTCGAATGGGAGCTCGCTTCCTGTTGGATCAATTTTCCAATTAGCCCACACATCTGCTGATGGCGACATCACATGAAATCACCACTGGAAACACAAGCCACGTTTTCGGCTCTCCACCCCGATTCTTTCTGAAAGTAAACCACTGTTCTTGAAAATGTGTTCCAAGTATATCCGAATTTTGTTGGTTCAAACACAATTTTAGATTTCATTAGAAGCTATTTAAACCACTCGGAACCCCAATTCATGGCCATCAAAAGAATATACGCAAACAAAATATGAGGCAATTATATCATCTGATGATGAAACTGGATTATCTCGTGAACTTCTCAAAAGTAAGGGTTTAAGTTCTTTTTTGGCCACCCAACAAAAACATCGCATCGCACTTGGCACCGGGTGGCCGTTCTTCTTCCATGGATTCATGAAGCGCCCCGAAGCTTCCTTCAAGGGTCGGGGCAATTCCTCCTCAGCCAGGCGCCTGCTGGTGCTCAAGCCGCTGGCTCCTAGGTCGTGCCGCGTGGCTGTGTGCAGGGGGATTCATCAGAGAAAAAAGGGAGAAACAGGGTGATGCGACTGACAGTGGTACCCTCTGGTTATGTCAAAATAGCTATGGAAAATCACCATTTATAGTGGATTTTCCCATTAAAAATGGTGATTTTCCATAGCTATGTTAAATTACCAGAGGGTAAGGTTTAGGATCAATGATTTATCATTATTGTTATCATTATGGCAATATGTAATCATCATCACCAACGTGGAGTTTACCAGCCAGCAACGATGCTTTTTCTTGCAGAACCGGAGACCTTCGAACGGAAAGATTCTGATCTGCAGCTCCTTTTACACGATGACCTGCAGTTCGTCCCAAGGATCTCAGCAAGGTTCAGTCATTCTTCATCAATGCCCTCCAGTTCTTGTTCTCTTGGACGACGAACGTGAGTGGAATCAAAAGATGACAAATGCATCTGGAAATGGATAGGTCTCTGCGGGTCAATGGGATAACAGGATGGCTGGCCCAAAGTGATGTAGGTATCTCTAGAACAAATATACCTCTTGGAAGAACCTGGCAAACGAAAAAGCATGGGATGGCGAAAGTAGCACCGGCGCTCTATGTCCGCAGGAGGCAGGTTGATGACATTTTGAAGCATCTGTTCAATCCGATCCCAATCAGAAGGTTTGATGAATCTCCGCAGTGTTGGCATGCCTGTTTCGATAGTCGGCGCCCATGATTGACGATGAAATACCAAATGAACCTCTTTAATGTCCAGAAGTCCAGTCTCATTGCTGAAGAGCAATGCTATCGCCATCAGTTCTTCATATGCATTGACAATTTCAGTCTCCGACGAGCTTTGAGTGCGTGTTTGGGAGGGCGCTGAAGCAAATGCATTTCGAGGAATTGAACCGGGCGCGGCATCTGGTGGAGCTTTTTGTTCTGGATCTTCTTTCATGGCCAGCAAGCAATAGTCGTTGCCTGTTGTTCCCTCGGGAATTCTGGTGTGGAAGAGATCCATGGACACGGGACCGTCGGTGCCCTGCAGGGAAACCCTCAAGCCCCGGGGAATCGCGGTACCGGTCGAGTTTTCATCCTCGGTGTTCAGGAACTGCAGGAATCGCTGACGGCTCTCCGTGTCCAGAAAGAGGTCAAAAAGACTGGTGTCACAGAGTTTCTTCTTGGACTTCAACAAGCGCTCCAGGCAACTGGCGTCATCGACAATTCTGCAGCTCCGCCGGTCCAGTACTAAATCTCCATCGCACAAACCCCGCAAGACGTGGCGAGAGCCCAACATCAGCGACGAAGCGTCAGTGGAATCCACCTTCGATGCGTTGCTGGAGCGCAACATGATTTCCACCAAAGCAATGGTGGTGGCACAGAGGATGTGTGAAGCAACCGACGCAACGATAGTGATTGACATCAGGTTTTCGAAACCGATGAGATACCATAATCTGTACAGGAGCAACACTGCTTCGAAGGCATAGAGGGTCAATGTCACTTTGTAATTAATGAAGACTATACTTAAAAAAAACCATGGTACTTCCAACCATCTTGTCTGAAAGGCAGAGCATTACTAGATCCGTCTCGTTCAATGTGGTGAGCACACTCATGAAATGAAGGATGCAATAGATCGCTGTCCAAATGCGAAACTCACCACTGGAGAGGACTCTCTCATCTGCCCAGCAATGCAAGCTGTATCCTGTGAACATTAAGAGTTGGTGAAACGCTAACTCAATAGTGGGAGTCCGCACCACTCGCCAGAAGTTTGCAAGACACAACCCGAAGGTCAAGTGAATGAAGAGTGTGTTCGTGTGCATGAAATTCCTGATCCGTGTCTTCTGCAATTCCGCCTCATATCATCTCTGTTGATCTCGTTGTCGTTGGGACATGGGTGGCTGCAACCAAGTCCAAAGTCTGCGAAGCAAACCAGAGATGTTGGGATTTCTGAAACGCACATGTAGAAAAACAAATACAAGAGATGGCAAGCAAGTGATAAACACCTGGTTCCTCCCACAGCGAGGTACCCATAGCGCCTCAGGACCACAGCCAAACGAAGATCGCAAATCAACTGAACTGATGATGCCCTCGCTTGAGCCAAAGTGGTGGTATAACCGGCAAGTTGATGGTAAAGCAATAATGACTTGGAAACATCGAGGTTAAAAACTAGAAAAAAAAGCTGCTTTGTCCAACAAACATGAGGGTCAACCAATAAAAATGATGGTATTTACCAACAAAACAAGTTGCTTCACCAGCATTTTTTTGGGGTTCCAGGGTACTAGCTGAAATAGTGATCTAGCTTGCAAGTACGACATGGGGGGGAACAACAATGCAGCAAACATTGGGTTTTACTGCCAAAAACACGAGCAACATGTATCAACATGTGGTGATTTGATGCAACATGGGGTGAAACTGGGAGTCTGTTCAATCAGCCCTTGCTTTCCAATATTTCGCCATCTAGATCTATAGCCATTATATCCCAATATAAATATATATATATATATCCCTACTATACCCCCATTGTTTGTTGGCTAAATCCCCCTTTTGGTTCCTCCCCAGCTCCTGCGATGCGCATTGCGCTGCGCCATGGCTGCGCTCCTGACCAATGCAACCTCACTGCCATGGCACACGGCCAGCTCTGCCGGAGTACGTACTGTGTGATGTGAGGGTTCGCTGGGAGCTTCGTGTTTGAGGAATCACATGTTAAGCACCTCAGTTGTTAAGCTAGGCTAGGCTATGACTCTGACTCAATATAATTTAATATAGCTTCCTACGACTTATGAAATTAATAAGACATTCCAGCCGCACTTGTGACTTGTGACTCGCAGTGGCACGGCATCATCATAGCCACTGAGCCCAAGCTATTGGGCTTTGGGAATGGCGGAAAACGGCGATGGTGCAGAGGTCACGTGAGCAGGTCTTGTTTCTCTTCAACAAGATCCTGGAGAAAACCGACAGCAAATGCTGTAGAAAAGCCTGGAATCTTTGGAGGACTTTTCTGTCTGGAATTGCGTCCAATGTTCTCTACAGGACTTCGTCCATGTACTGGTGTGGCGAAACAGAACGTGGCACAAACAAGAGAATCCAAGTTCTCAAAACGATCATTCTTTAAACGAAATGTCACCAAATTTGCACCTCAAGACTCACATGTTTTGCCCTTTCCAAAAATGCCTTTCCAGGCTTCCCCAATCCATATATATTTATTATCCATTACATATTGTATATTATATATACTATATATATATTATATTATATCATATTATATTATATTATATTATATCATATCATATCATATCATATTATATTATATTATAATATATAGATATTATCTATATATATATCATATAATATAATATGTATATACCTATTCTACCACTCGATTTTCCCATTCATCCTCATTCATCCCCATGAATCCACAGATTTGACAAAGCTCCAACTGGCCTCCTTCATGACCTTGCCGGCTCCCTGAAAGGTGCCACCTGTGCCATAGCCTGTGACCTCGGATTGAAGTCAGGGGAAATGATGATTGGTTCATGAATACACCTGATTAATGACATGAACCAATGATGAGTTTTCCTGATTAATGACATGAACCAATGATCTAATCACCTATTGGAATCTCAATGATGAGTTTTCCTGATAGGTGATTCATGAATGCCCTAGGACCCTAGTAATCACAATATCTCAATGATTAGAATGACCTAGGTGATGAATTAGAATTAGAATTAGTTCACTGTTAGAATGACCGAGGAATCACAATAGCTCAATGATTGGTTTTGCTGATAAGTGATTCATGAATTATGATGATCGTTCACTAGTATATACCATATGATGATTCACATTAATGGGCTAATAGTTGTGATTAAAACTGGTGAATCAAAGTGATACCAGTAATTAGTAAGTTTTAATCATGATTCATGGTGAAGCATACTAATAGATGAATAGTTTTCATGGTGAAGCGTTTTACGCTGGGTCAATTTTCCAATACTTCACGACGTGAGATCATGGGATCAATTTCTCGATGGAACTTGGGATTGAAAAAGCATCAAGACTTGACCGGCACAGAATGTTGATATGATTGAATATCAGCCCATTGATTTTTCATGAGCATCCAAAATGAAGAGATCCTATATATATATAGAGGTGATGATAGGGGTGTTTATGAGTTGACCATGAGACTGGTCTGATTAAAAAAAGGGGATGCATGACTGATGCTACTTCTCATGAGAAATAGGAGTGTATGCAGCAAACATAGCATAGCGACATAGCAAACCGACGATATGATAAACACAACATAAACACTGTGTTTAGGGTATCGACATAACATACTCCGGGAGTACATGGGCACGATCAATGACATAAGCGAAAAATGCATCTCACCTTTGGTGTGGCACATCTGACCATCTCAAAGTGTGGTCAGTGGATCTCCATCTCCAGCTGATAGTTTCACAAACAAAAACCAACTCTTTAATAAGGTGAGACTAAAAATTTGGTGATAGTATGTATCTTAATTATAGTCATTCAATTGGAAAATACTCCATGATATACCATGATGAATCAGTGGATATGGCTGGGCCCAGTAGTACAGTTATACCATACCCCCATCGCTTCCTGGGTCCTGGGTGCACTGGGTGCCCTGGGCCCAGTAGTCCAAGTTCTTTCCCTCGAAGTCCCTGGATGGAAGCGCTGGTTGTTGCTGACGTACTACCAAAATTATGACGCTTAAATCTCTGTGTTCAAAAATGTTGACACCCATACCCATATGATCCCATATGATACCATCTGTATCTGGTACAGACGAAATAGATCTGTATATTATGTATATATAATTATTCACATATATATATATACATATTCACAAATTCTGTGGGAAGGTAAGCGGCAAGCTTTGGTGTTCGAGGACATTTGGATTTCAAACCAGAGAGATCCGATGACGGATCATCTCTTACAGGAAATGGCTCTCAGATAAAATCAATCAATAAATAAATAGATAGATAAACAACAATATAAACAAACAAAAGTCCTGTCATAAGAACAAACTAACATCTAAAGTGTCAGTTTTTTTTGCCTAAGGTTGTGAAATGATGTTAAATGGATGGAAAGAAATGTGCAACAGCCATAATGGTGATAATGGCGATGATAATGGCGATGATAATGGCGATGATAAGGGTGATGATGATGACGATGATGACGATGAGGATGATGATGATGATGATTATTATTATGATTATTATTATTAGTGTTATCGTTATATAAGCATTGTTGTTAATATTTGTTGTTAGTATCACTATGGATTACCACACGACCCCATGGTGCCAAGCTGCTTCAGAATCTCTGGACCTGTGGTCTTGGCCTCAATGGTCCACCAAGGTCGGTGCAGGGTCAGGGTGAATGGCTACAGCGGCTACTGATTTCATACGATTTAACAATATATATATAATGTATGTATGTATATATATATAATATAATACAATATAATATTATATTATATTATAATATATTATATTATATTATATTGTATTATATTATATTATATTAGAATATATTATATTATATTATATTATAGTATATTATATTATATTATATTGTAATTATATTATACTATATTATATCGTATTATATCATATTATATTATATTATAATATAATATAATAGAATATAATATAATATAATATAATATAATATACTATAGTATAATATACTATACTATAATATAATATAATATAATATAATACAATATAATATAATGTAATATATACATATACATATACATATACATGTACATATACATATACATATACATATACATATACATGTATATAGTTGAATCTGCAACATCTATATATAGTCTATACATGTCTATACTCTCCATAGCAGCATGTAGTTCTATAAGTTCCGGCAGCAATGAACCTGCTTTGCATGGTAAGAGAACGTAAAGGATAGAGGGTAAAAACATGTGGTGACCAGAACTATGCTTCGCCAACATCCCAATTCTGTCCAGGAGGCCTGTGGTCCAAGGTTTGGAAGAGCTTCCCTCTGCTTCAGTTGTAAAAATAGTTCTAGTTGTTTTTTGGAATTGGAAGTGAAACTCCACCTTCCATGACAAATCTTACCTTGCAAAAAGGACATCTATAAAAAGTGGGAGATCCTACTCTTCCGTTTACATCATTTACATCCATGTAACATGTACGAATAGATGGATCATGTTTGAAGCCTCGGTTACACTGGTGCTCATCTTTCCTGGGCCTCCGCGCGTGGTATTCAGGACCCGCCTGGCTCCCAGTTCTCACAGAGTATCTGGAGCAAAAATCACACGAGATCATGAATGGAATTTTGAATTGTTACCCTGACATTTCATGCATGAAGTATTTCATAATTGAATTGTTGCTGATCAGCTAAGTTTAAGCAGTCAGCATCAACTTAGCTGATCTGGCACCTGTCCCGCAGGGGCTTCACACCTCGTTCTCGAACTGTCTGGCCAGGAACCAGCCATGCTTCTCTGCCAGCTCCTTTCTGACACCGTAGTCACCACGGGGATCATCTCAGGATATCTCTGGTATTTTCCCGGACAGCCAGTGGTGTTTTTTTATCGCCGATGGGAACGGTTAGACTTGAAAGCATCAACCAGCCATTGCTCATATTCTGAGTGCCTCACTACTTATTAGTACTGTGTCAAATCTCTATTTTCTTCGCAGATACTGTATGACAGCTCATAATCTCACCCATTTTTTTGGGTTGGTTATATCAGGTTGTACTTCACTTCTTGAATCCATCTTGAATTTCGTTACATTACGTCAGGGTAGTTGTGCTTGTGCCTAAATCCCATGATTTATCCTGTCATTTTGCGACCTCTCCTCGTCATTGTGATCATCATTCCGGGACCCAGATGGAACATCTATTTAAAAGAACACCGGCCAGATCATCATGAGTATTATACAATATTATATATAATATTATATTATATATATACACACCTGTTTTCCAAAACAAAAAAAACATGATATCATATGATATCCCCGTTATTTCATAGTGAAATCCCATGAAAATCCCCCATCGTTTCTTGGTTTTCAAGATCCATCCACCTCATCTTCCCTGCACCTCAGCCTTCAGAACCATCCCGGTACCGCCCAGTGGGGCTGGCGTCACCTGGGCGTCCAAACTTAGCTCCAGCGCAAGATCACCGAGATGATACACATCTACCCTCTGGTAAACATACAAAACTATGGAAAATCACCATGTTCAATGGGAAAATCCACTATAAATGGCCATTTTCAATAGCTTTTTGTATGTTTACCAGAGGGTATTCATTGAATGTTTCAAGAGATTCATCTTTAAATCCTCCAGTCATGGTTTCCATTTCTGTGTTTCCGTATAGAAATTCATCCGTGGTCCATGGTTGCCTTCCAGCCCCGGGATCAATTTCGGAAACACCGGCGCTGAGGTCATCCACCACCACTTTGGCGCCCATCATGCGCATGACCTGAGGCAGGGCTTGGTGTGGCGGTGGTTGAATATTATGTGGCTATTGAAAAATGGGATTTAACTGGATTTAACCATCAATTATAGAATTATAGAGGCTTTACGGGATTTGATCCACCAATGATTTGTGTCATCGAAAGGCCATACTGGACATGGATCCACGTGTGTGCAACCCTTACCATCCCCTGAGTATGCAAACTTGGTCCCAACAATTCTACATCAGCTACCCCTTAGTAACTGCCGCAATTCAATAGGTCAATATCTGTTCCCAGCAGTTCACCCAGTCTTTCCAGCACTGCCGCGGCTGTGCTTCGGACCTTTCTTCGCTCAACGGAGAAGGAGGCCGCCATGGTGCAAACGAAGTTGTAGCCGCGCTGAGCGCAGACCTGGTTTTGGACGGTCATGGGTCGGTCCAGCCACTCTGATGTGCCAGTTGACGGGGGGATGAGTCTTCGCCACTACCCTCTGGTTATGTCAAAATAGCTATTGAAAATTGCCATAGAAATAGTGGATTTTCCCATTAAAAATGGTGATTTTCCATAGCTATGTTAAATTACCAGAGGGTAACTTGAATGATCTTGAATGTACATCCAAGTGGTGAACACTGAAATAGCGGGTAACACTGTTGTTTGTGCATGTTCCCCCCAAGATGGACGAGATGGTATTGACATCACGCACGACCCATTCCCTACACAGACTCTGTGTGTGTGCGCTCTATGTCCGAAAATTGGGAAACTCAAAATCCTGATGGGTGGTCGGATCACGATAATGATATTTCCGACCATTGCGGTGGGACAAATGATGATGATAATGGATTGGCCCAATGATGCTTTAGGCAGGAAGTCACTCTGTTTTGACATGTTTGGCGAACAAAAAGTATCCCCAAATGATTTTTGTTTGACAAGGATGCTCCGTGTTTGTGGAGATGCTGACCACCACCACCACCACCACATGCATTAAGGGTGTACGGTGTAATTACTAGAAATCACACAGCGGGATCTGAAGAGACATGTAATGCGGCAAGAGACCGATAGTTAAACCCATGTCTCCATCTGGGGGAGATTGTGTACCCAACAAAAATCCATCAAGAAACCTGGCTAGACCTAGCCTATGGCTTTTCAGTATGTTGTGCTGTGTTGCAAAATTATTGGAATTTATGATTTCGGTTTACCGCCACCTTGTCAGTTCATTCTTCAGGAGCTCCTGGATTGCCCACAGCTCCTGGATTCGCTGAGTGCCCCTACCATGGCCAAAGCGATGCCAGTGTTTCCACTGGTGGCCTGCAGAGATCCCCCAACCACGAAACATTGTATCAACGCGCATGAACATACCCTCTGGCAATGGCTAACATATGGAAAATTGCCATTTTTTAAAGGTAAATCAAGTATTTCTGCGGGCCATTTTCAATAGCTATGTTAAATTACCAGAGGGTATATCATCAGATATCCCATTAAATCCCATTAAATGCTATTGAATCACCATTGAATCCCATTAAAACACCATTAAAACACCATTTACCAGAGGGCATGTTAAACATGGTTTTAAATGCGTAGAACACCCGGTGGAACTCTCAAGGATTTCCCATTTTCGTGTCGGACAGTGAAACAACACAACGGGGCATTTTCGACTGGAAGATCACCAGAGGCCAACATCCAGACCGTGGGCCTCTACAACGGTGCCTCCTGGCCTTGGCGAAGACCACACATCTGTTGAAAATCAAGGGATCGATCCACTTTCTGGCGCAAAATCCAATTGTGGTGCGCAATTTTGGAATTCACCAGGTGATTTCATCATATTTCATGTTCTCCAAGTTCCATCCCCCTTCGCTGGTTGTTACATCCCTGAGGACTTGGGAGTTTTCCAGGCTTTGGAGCTGTCCCCATATGTTAATGGTTTAAATTCCCATATTGACTGACTATAATCATCAACCAACAGGGGTTTCAAAAGTTTCGAACATTGCCCACGGCTGGTGCTGCCGGCTTCAGCTCTCCCTTCTTCTCAGCATCCTCAATGATGGCGATTGCCAGGCGGTCCTCAAAGGAGCTGAAGAAGATTGGCATATCTTTCCCACCAGATTACTACAGTAAGTGTTATAAACCATTGATTTCATATTATAAACCATTGATTCACCATTTTCTTCAGCACATATTTCACCAACCTTCCGGATTTTTTTTCCCTCCTCAACCACCATTTGAGGTGCGTCCCACAGTGTGTGTGTGTGTTTATGTTTGCCAACACGTTTGACATCCTGCCTTCACAGAGCCCAGGGGGTTGAAAAACTCGCACCTCAGCTGGTTTTTTTAACCAGTCTTGAGGTGAAAACAACACGAGATTCATGAGACCTAATGATAGACCATCCCCCAAATTTACCCTCTGGTAATTTGTTACATAGCTATTGAAAATGGCCATTTATAGTGGATTTTCCTATAAAAAATAGTGATTTTCCATAGCTATGTTAAATTACCAGAGGGTAAATAGCTTGTGTAAGCCACCCCCAAATGGTAGATCTGCGGCATTGGCACGTGAAACAACAATCGCTGAGGATTCCGAGATGTCCGAGGATTCGACAGACACTGGGTGGCGATTAAAACGGGGTAACGCTTCACGACCCATATCAATTCACAGAAGATTGTGAGTTTTGTGTGTTATGAATCTATGCCTCTATCATTTTCTTGACCCAAAATCAGATGATGTCTTCCAAATGTTGCTTAACAAACTTTTGTTTCCCAGTCCAAAATCAGATTTGGGGGATTTTGAACTACCCAGCTGAGCTGTGCCATTGGCATCTGGCCATTTTCTGGAGGACCAAGGTATCGGCTTCACATAGAGGTTCACATTGGCAGGTGCTAATCGATTCACCTGCAGGACATGGAGGGGATTCATCCAAAATCCTCAGAAAAAATTGATCTCCAGATGTCAACCATCTACAAATATGGATTTAATATGCGCTGTATAATGCTGTATGTGTATATATATATGTGTGTGTAATATGTATAAATATGAATATAGTGAACACGTTTTTTTTTCCTTTGAACTTCGTGCTCACAATCGCTGAATAGCTACATTGCTGGATCCAAAGGGTTTTTTCCACTGTCCTGGCCTTCACAGTGGGTGTGGTGCCCACGGTCTCACAAATGTTGTTGTAGAGCGCCCCTCACGGGATACCAAGTGCATTGGCAAGAGGCAAAATCATCAGATGGTTGGATATTCTAATGGAAGGTATGGAATCTAGGATAACAATGACATCATCTAGATGAATGGTTGGAATCGTAATGTTGGATACAAAATCCAAAGCAAATCGCAAGTGTTTACCAAGTCCGAAGCTACAAAAAAAACAAATGTCCGATGTTTTCCACTTGGAAAAGTAGAGTACCGTTAGATTTGCAGCAATAGGACCTCACTGAGGTTCACACTTCGGGCGGATGAGGTCGAAATACACCTGATCCAGACACAACCAAACGTTGCGGAAACACCTGAAACTTCAACCTGAGGGTGCAACCAAATGGGATTTATGGATTGTTATCATTTGGATTTTTCAAAGTATTTATTCCAAAAACTTCGCAATTGTGATTTTCCCAAATGATGGATTATTCTTTTCAACTCCTGGAGTTTTTCATAAGATTATACAATTAATTATACAGTAGTGTTCCAATATTGAGGCGTTCGACTCAGTTGGAAAAAAACAAAGTGACACCAACAGCATCACCGTGCTGACCTGAGGAATAAGGTGGTGACCTTAGAATTTCGATGTCTATCCTGTTCGGTCACGGTGCGACTCTTGCCTTAATTTCTCCTCCGAATAAGGTGGTGGATATGAATGCTGTACATGTACTTATATATAGATAGATAGATAGATAGATAGATAGATAGATAGATAGATAGATAGATAGATAGATATCATATACATATATATATATATGAGGAATACTAGTATGAGGAATATGAGGTACTTCGATAAGACAGAAACATCTCTATTGTATTCATGATATTCCATTCCCCAAGGTCCAACGGCCTACGGCTCAGCATTGAAGCCCTGCCGACTCGAAGCCGTGAAAAAACATCACCCGTGTGGGTCTCTAAAGTGAGCTATACCGTTATAATTATAGTATTAATACCCAAAAAAATAAGCAGTGCCATGGCGAAAATGATCATAAACCACGGGATTTTGATGGATTTTGCGACTACTCTACTACTTTTTCGACCATGCTTAGCTTGGAGCCCTGAGTCAAGCAATCTGATATGTACTCCCAAAAATGAAGAAAAGTCCCAGAATGTCAAAAGCGAAATCTGTGGTCCAACTCCAACAGCATAAGGCCATACCGATCTCAATCCATGAAGGGTCTGATCTTCATCGAGTCGACTCCTTGCCTGCTGCCAATCATTGTTTTTTTGTGCCCCTGTCCTTGCGAAGGAGTGCTCACCGTGCTGCCAGGTTTCTTTTTGGCCATAGAAAAAGAACCACATCCTTTGAATCCTTTGTACCATGTGCTGAAACACAGATCACATGAATGGTGGAATATACAAGTTAGTTCAAGCCAATTCAAGCTACATAGGTCTTAGAAGCACAATCACCACGCGATCCAGGAAGGCTCCCTGCCCCAAGCCCCAACCAGCTCCTGTCCACAAAACTATCAGCAATGGCTGTGAGCCAAGACGTGGCACAAAGTTCATTTCAGAGGCATCTCTGAAATTCAAGACTCCTGCATTGACGATCCATCTAAGATCCATCCAAAATTATCAAAAAACGTATATACAGTAACCTTTGTTTCATACATTAGACGGTTGGTTGGCATTACATTGACTATATTGGCAGGTTTACATTACATGTCCTTCCTGCATTGGCCTCCACAAACGCGTTCTGATCCACTCCAAGCTTTGGTAGCCCCCGGGTTCACCACAATTCACCACTCTTTTGCTAGGCTCCGCGGCATGCACCAAGGTCCTAGCTGCTTGCACAACTTTTGTTATGAATTTCACCTCAGAATAACGGGCATGGATTTCATCCTTGAAAAGGTCTGAGGGCTCAAGTAATTTCATTGATTTAGTGTCAACGGTTTTCTTGTTTCACCCTTCTTTCGTCATGAGTCGTGACAGTAAAGATTTCCTATGTAATTGTATCAAAATTGGTCCTTGTGGGGAAACTACCATCGTGTATTTCTGGTGTTTTATGCTTCCAGGAAGATGCCGCCGTTCTACGATTGAAACTCTGTCAACTCGGCCCGTTGCGCATTTTGGTGTGTGAGACCATCCGTGAGATACACGGCGCCATGAACCGTACTGTCTACCAGTCTACCAGTTGCTGGTGCTTCAAAGGTGTCAACAAGTGTTTTGTTGTATGTCAAAACGTTAAAACATCTTATTCCAAACGGCCAGTAAAGTTGGTAGCCATTCAGGAATGATAAATGATTATGAAGGATTTGAAGATATACGAGTACCTAAAAACTCCTCCTCAGAACAGCCATGACGCGAAAGCATCGGACGGCGGCGGTGAAACATTCTCCGCCACACGGGGTGGGCGTCACTTCACTTTCGGAAAGATCTTCTCCACCTCTCCGGGAGTTGAGGCTGTTCGCTGGGAAGTTTTTTCTTGGGGGTCAAATTTGACCAATTCAAAAGAAAAAAATGGAACGCGTGTGCAATGAGGACCCCTTAGACCACAAACATGATCAAACATGAGTCTTTCTGGGATTTTGACCTGTACATCCTATACCCAAGTATAATTATAGTATTGACAAGTCTTCAAAAGAATAAAAAGAGAAGCGAGTCTTTTCGGGGCTGGTGGTGGGTGAGGAAATAGGACGGGATCCCACTGGGACCGGCGTAAAATGTCAGCGTTTCCAAAGTTGAACTCAGAATCTCCCCTGTGCAGAGTCTCTTCCATGTCTAAAGCAGTTGATCTGAAAGGGTCTGATGACTTGGGAATACTATAAGCATTGTACTTGTAATGAAAAATTATCATTCATTCATTCATTCAGTCAGTCAGTCATTCATTCAGTCAGTCATTCACAGTCATTCATTCATTCAGGCAGTCATTCATTCATCCAGTCAGTCATTCATTCATTCATTCAGTCATTCATTCATTCAGTCAGTCATTCATTCGTTCAGTCACTCATTCATTCAGTCAGTCATTCAGTCATTCATTCAGTCATTCATTCATTCAGTCAGTCATTCATTCAGTCATTCATTAATTCAGTCATGCATTCATTCAGTAATTCATTCATTTCTGCATACTTTATGTCTCATTTTTTTTTACTTACCTACTGGTATGTATACATCGCAAGTAGATGAACTTTGAAGCACCACCTGGCCTGTCACCGACCTCCCTTTTTTCCCGCTCGCTGCACGTCTGGCCATGACCCCGGCCCGATCCAACCAATTCTGGGACCCAAACAGGCCTTGAGCTGTAGGTGGCTGTTTTTCTTAACAAATAAGGGCGAAAAACACCGTTTGAAGTCTATATGATATATATATATACACACGTATAATTATAAATGTGGATGGAACTTATATGATCGCATCATGCTTTTCTGAAAAGTCTATATGTTCATCAGAAAGACATACTGTTCCACCATTTAAAAACCCAAAGAAATGTCACCCCTGTGATGGTTGGATTCCCCGCGGAGCTGGAAGAACCCCCAGCAGAGCTCAAGCAGAGTGCCGCCCCTGATGTTCCCATGGATGAACCTGTTGGGGATGGTCCAACGATTCGAACTACTTCAGTTTTGATACAACATGATACAACTATATCCTTATATCCTTATACATGTACATATATATATATATTTATATTTATTTATTCATTTATTTATTTATCTATTTATTCACGTATTTGTCTATTTATTTGTCTATTTATTTGTTTATTATTTGGGTACAGTGCAAACAAATGCAAATATCATAGACATTATTATACATCATATGCGTTTTGGCAGGACTTAAATTTGAGTACTGCAAACATGACCCACATCTTTGGGCTGCAGGTTCTGAATGCTGACACGGCCTTTTGTCCATAAAGCTATCAGATCCAACGGGAATGTGCTCCAGTAAACTGTCCAGGGGATACCACCAGGGGATTTTGTTGTGCATACTATGCTCAGCTCAGCCGTTGATCCACTTGCTGCGCGAACTATGGCATGAAACTGCCTCCTATTCACTTCGCGCCAGCGTGTGGCAACCCATGATGCTCCAGTGCAGCAAACAACTTTGAATCTCAAATCCAGGTCCATCATGATCCTCATCACAAGACCCTTGATTACAACATTCATTTCATATGCATAATCCATGAGTGTCACTCACATCCTCTCACCTTCCAAGCCCTGAAGATTAGAATTTTGATGACTTTGTGATCAACCAGATGGAAGATCTTCTGCAGCCAGAAACTCCATCCACAACATGTCTGGAGCAGTAGAGCAATCAGCCCCGAACCAGCACAGTCCAGAAATCGCCAGGCAGGGGCAGTTTGACTTTGAGGATGCAACAAGTTGAAAAGCGCCCTGCAGCCTCTACTTTTCGGTGATTCTAAATGAAAGGGGAGGAAAAAAAACCTGGGTCAACCTGGGCCAACCTGGGATGAGGGGTCACCATTTAGTGACTGGATGAGTCGGATGAGTCTTTCTTTTCGAATTGCCAGGTGGATTAATGATGATTCTTGGGCAGAATGTGCCAAATCTTCAGGTGTCAAGCCTGTCAAGCTGAACTCAGAATTTTTGGCGAAAGATCTGAATATAATCTGAATTGGTTATATAGACCCCATTGAAACCATCAAAATCATTCAAACTCCATCTTTCAAATCTCAAAGATCCTTTCAAATCCACATCCCCAACATCTTCCAGCCACATCTGCCGTCCCGCGTCCCCGCGTCGCGTCCCCGGCGTCCGCCGTGTCCCAGCGGCATCAGCGGCGATTGGAGCGTGGCCGCGCACTGCGGAAGGGCTCCAGAGCCTGGGCTTAACCGACAAACGTAGCACAACACTTTATATATATGAATATCATGGGGATATAAAGTGTATATCTATGGTATAATGTGTATATATATATATATCTAGTTGAACGATATATATCATTGTGTTAATATATACATATGAGCCACGGTCGAAATTTATTGTTTACGTCAAGTGCGTCATCAAGTTAGTGAGTCCCCTATCGTTTTACAGGCTTTCCTGTTTTTACATATTTTGACAAGTATTTACCTCTGTTTAAGCATAGTTTTGAAGCACGTCCACTTGGATCCTCATCCCTGGCGATCTTTGTTTGCGCGGGTTGGAGCGCTTGTGCTTTTGCCCGTGCCTGTCTGGTCCTCCTTCGCGCTGCTTGGGCAGTCTCTTCAACCAGCAGGTCTTTTGGAAAGAAAATGGGTTCTGGCATGCTTTGGCCACTCACAGCTGCTAACCTCAAAATTTATCCGGCCGGGGCAAAAAAAATTAGTCCATCACTACAACATACTACCAACATCCACCACCTGTTCCGCCTGTTGTGTGACCAGTCGGTCACCCTGGGCGCTTTTGGAAAGATTTTAGTATCGTTTGGGCCGTTTGGGTATCGTTTTGGGTATCGTGCTGCGCGGGCTCCATCTTTGCAAGTCACATGCGTGCGAGACTGAATGAATAGCTCGCCGCGGTCTACCAAAGCTAGGCCAGGCAGCAAAACGAGATACTGCATGGAGTTGGCCACTCCAGCATGCCTACACTGCCTGCGAATAGATGCATGGTTTCCGTAATCTGAGCTACTCGGTGCCGAGTTTTAGCAGCCCACCTAGGTGGCTAAAGTAATGTAAAGTCATGTAAAGTCAACCCACCGCATGGGCACACCCATTCATGGTGAAGTGGATCCAACCGTGAAAAAACAACCCTGCCAAAGCAAACACTATGCCCACACCACAAAACGCGCAAGCATGCTCAATCAAAAAACGTATCGTTTTTTTGTAAATCCCCTATCGTTTTAGCAGGTTTCACGCAACAGCCAACATCCGATGCACACTCCCGTACATACTTAATCAGCGCAAATTTTCACGGAATCTCATATGTATTCTAGGTATATGGTTGAGTATGATGATGTTCTTTTCATTCTGATAGTCCAGTGCCGCGGTTGATTCCCACCTGATTTGTGGCCAACCGTGGTACCAAAGAGACACTCCATAGCATTTCGATGGCGATCACGTTGGGGCAACTGTGTAGCTGCTGATGATTGCTGGCAGTTCTTAGACAGATAGAGCATCCCAATTCATGGAAATTTCGCACTTTCACAAATTGCAGAGATCGAGGGAATGAATCAGCTAGATCAGCCAAAGCATTGGGTAAAACAGATACAGGCGTGGTGATCCATGTCCCGTTTGAGCATCATCGAACCACTAGGCAAATCATTACCAACTACCATCTTCATGTGAAACCAACATGAATGGACATTTACCAACCCCTGACCCATGAAATACTGGGGCATCGTTTTCAGAATCGCCCGAGCTCTTAGTCCCTTTAAATCTGCAGCCCTTGTTAGCATGACCCATCCCCAGGTTCGATTCTAGTCATGTTAATCTGCCAAATCCACTTAGAAGCGTCTTGCTGAAATCACATCAGGGAAAAGTAACAACATCCCCATCGGACTATGGCACGGTATAACAAAAAAGTCACAATAGCCAATAGCAATGTTATAGTAAAGCAATAGGATCCACCATCCCAAACTTTACCATCAAAATATGGGTGATATAAAAGTGATAAACTATTAACATATGGGCGGTTTATTACTGCTTCAATGTGTGCAATCCAACAATAAACCTAGCATTTGGGGATGGTTTGACTCCCACCCGCAAGACCTGCCAAGCTACCAGCGACTGCGTGGGCGTGGCCGTGGAACGACGTTGGGAACCCACCGTGGGCGGTGCCGTGTTCGGCGGCGCGCTCCGCGGCGCGGCTCGTGCCGGTATGTGGCGGACGCGCGCCTAGGAGCTGGGGAAAGCTGGAAGTGTTTAGGGCAAAAAAGCTGAAAACCATTATTTTTCTGGGTGAAGTATGTTCAAAACTCGCCCGTGCACGCAATCAATTCTATTGTTTCTGCCTTTCCAGATTTGGGTCTAGGCGGAGGCATGTTTGGCTTTGACCAACACAGCTATGCTGCTCATCAAAAGTTCAGCCTTCAAGCCACATGAATGCAGGGTATGCAGGGTATTGCTGCCACAGCCTCCCACCAATATATCTCCACACTTCACAGAGGTGGAAGGCTGCAGGCCCCGAAAGGAACGGCAACCACAGTGGCAGCTACCCGCTCCACCATGGGGAGAGACACTTAGGTCTCAAAAGCCGGGCCTAGCGGGGATTTCCATAAATTTGGTCCCACAGGCAAGTGCCCGGGCACGATTGGCTGTACTAAACGGAACGGTGCAAGGATTCGAATTAAAGGTGCTCACTTGAGCAGGCTATGCGAGCCATCATCTGTCCGGCAGAGGAAAGCTTGAAGTCAAAAGTACTGTAGGCCGCCACGCTGCAGACGGTACCGGGGCAAAGAACAGAGCGATCACGGCTTGTCAGGTTTGCTGGTGGCGCTATCCGTTCGCTCCAACATCCGGCTGTGTGTTCGCACCAGGTTCTCAAAGTCGGCCTCCACCTCATGGAGTGCCTCGATCATGTGCCCCATGTCCTCATCCAATTCCACCACCGACTGGTCGTTGCGCTCCAGGTCTTGCAGCCGAGTCCCCATGTGCGCCAGGACATCATGTGCCTCCTTCAAGTCTGCTTCGAACCTTTCACGCTCCAACTTCTTGATGTAGTCCTTCAAAATCTGGCGGCATGCCATGTAGAAGAGACCAACACTTCCAGTGAAGGTAGCTGGGAGCAGCAAGGCACGTTGAGGGGGTCCAGGGATGATGTTTTCCATGTAGACTCCGAAGAGACCTCCCATGAAATAAAAGCTCCAAAGCCCGAACAGCACAGCCAACTTTCTCGCGTCAACGCCCACTTCGGCCCGCTCCACATCGTTCAACTTGGAACGCCTGCAACCCTTTCGGAGGTAAATCATGCTGATTCGCCCAAAGGTTGAGCCGATATCCGTCATAGTGCCAGTAACATGCGTGGTGCGAATAATGGCACCGAAGTGGGAGGTGCACATGGCATTCTGCAAGCCGCATGCTGCGGCCACTAGGCAAGCAGGGAGCAACCTGCCCGGAATGAAGGCTGCTGACACCAGCAGGCTGGAGTTCAGCACCAGAGCCAACCCATAGAAGGCTTTCCCCCCGAAGTGCACTTGATTCTTGTCGATCAAGAGACCGCATGCATATGCACCACACAGGAAGGAGAAAACCAACAAGCATGCTTCCTTCAGGCTTCCTGATACATATTCCCCCTGGTGATAGCCCTCCAGCCTGAAGGCGATGGCTGAGGTACTCCCGGTCACATGGGAGGCATAGAGGTTCCAGCTCTTGAAAGCGATCACATTGGCTGCTCCAGCACAGGCCGCAAGGCACCAGCCAAAGCCCATGACCCAAAACTTCGGGCGCTGGAAGCTCTTGCGAATCTGTGCTGCTTTCTCCTTCATCTTCTTCGTGTTGGGGCTCGACTCGCATGGGGCCGGCTGCACTTGCTGGCTCATGGCTGCAAATGCAAACAAAATGACTTCTGTCGCGGACCCGGAAGGACTTTTGAAGATGGCTTGAGCCAAAAGCTGAAAACCATCAGAAATCGGATTTAACCATCAGAAATGATGATTATTGGTGATCCAAAGGGGGGATTTAACCATCCAAGGGATGGGTTTAACCATGAGAGGATCTAACCATCAAGGAACTCAGGATTTTAGTTCATAGCTGGGTTGCCGGCCATTGAAAGTGATGACAAAAATTCAGGCGACTTTCCCACAATGGCTCCGATCGGAGCATCCAAAAGACAAAATCATAACCAAAAAATATTATAAATGATGATAAATGAGGATAAAGTACCGTTTAAATCTGTTTAGTACACCTTGGCAATGAAAAAAAAGTTGACATCATCATCCACCCAAATCTAACAGATTTGGCATGTCACCCCTGAGTTTCGGACTCGAGCCTTGACCAGATTGTGGCAGGAGCGAATGCCTTGAAAGGAGTCAAGAGGCTTTTTGGAAGCATATGGGGGATCCCCAAAATGGATGGTGTATAATGGAAAATCATGTTAAAATGGATGATTTAGGGGTACCCCCATTTTAGGAAACCTCCATATCCATAGCCATCATCCACGCTTTAAAAGGGGATATCATGGGATATCATGGTTTCTACCGTGCTCCCGGCTCAACCATCTCAACCCACAAGACGGGCGACGTGATCCCAGATCCACGCCCAACTGCTCATCCACGAAACGCCTGGCCGGATGGAATTTCGATCCATGAATTGAGTCACAGGCTTAAGTCTTAAGTCATGGTTTGCCTGAAAATAGGCTACCCCCAAATTTCATGAATCATCGTGTTCCCTGGTTTTCCCTTTCAAAATGGCCCAATTTTGGTGTAAAAAACCAGTCCCCAGAACCGTCGTGGTTTCCCCCTTCCGCACCGCAGAATGTCCCACGCCTCACATCTGCCAAGCCTTGAACTTGGGAGACCAAATCCTGCAAGGAACCTGCGGCACCGGACAACATTTGTGGAAGTTGCGCAAATCTAGAGGATTCCCCTGTAGATTTTTCCAAATATGTTGAAGCATCTCTAAATATTATGCATTATATATATATATGCAACTGTTAAATTGATACATCCAAAATCATCCAAATCTATTGAACCACATCGTGACTTCATTCATATTTGTCAAGTTTGCATCCGCATCCTTTTGCAGTTGCTTCTTTCAATGCCATTTACCACTGCTGTTTCCAAATCACAGTGGCGGGACGAACGTGCCATTTGTGGCTGACGCCGTGCTGCGCCTCTCGAAAAGGTGTGGCTGCCTTCACAGGCATTTGGGATTGGTAAGGACTTCGTGGGCCTTGACCGCAATCTTCACATTGGTAGCGGAGCTGCCATTCTTCTGCTACCGGCTGGCTTCGCTGTTTGCACGAGCTGGCCCTGAGCAGGCCCTTGCTGGACTACGTCCTCGCTGCCTACGGCCCTGTGCAGGCCATCTCTGTCCTTTGTGCTTGGCCTTGTGCTGGCCTAACTGCGTTCTGTGCTTCAGGCCCTGTGCAGGCCTCACTGCGTGGTTCCCAGGTCCTGAGCAGGCCTGGAGGTACTTGGACTTTGGCCCTGAGCAGGCCGTACTGCTGCGAGCTGTCCTGGCCTTGTGCTGGCCCTTGGTGCACTATTTGATCAAGATCGGGCACAGCACTTCGAATTCGACAACCTGGTGATTGACTTCCTTTGCTTGGCTTGGATCGCTGCGATCACCTCTGCCTTCGACGATGTCAGGGGGGACTGGATCTGCGAGCACAGCTGGCTTGGATGTTACAACCACCAAGGACTCCTACATCCCCTTGTTCAGTGGTGCTCCTTCAGACTATAAGGAGTGGAGAAAGCGATTGACCATCTATGTGATGAAGATGAGGATGGCGAAGAAGGAAGCTGAAGGCTTGCTTTCCGTCATTGGTTCACTGACGGGCACAGCTTGGAGGCTCTTGGAGAACTTCCCGATCGAGGACATTGAGAAGGCAGGAGCTTTCGAGAAGATGCTCAAGATCCTCGACAAGGCCTTCGAGTACGACAAGTCCGTTCAGTTGCCAACTGACTTCGACAAGTACTTCACTGGACTCCATCGACGCCCAGGCCAATCGCTGCTCGAGTTCACCACTGAGCACGACCATCTCTACAACAAGCTCTCCGACCACGACGTCACCCTTCCTGGAAAAGTTCAAGGATGGCACTTGCTGAGAAGGGCCGGTTTGACAAGGGAGCAGAGACAGTTGGTCACTGCCCAGGCCCCGACTTTGGAACGCAACAAAGTGCAAGAAGCCATGTTCTTGCTACTTGGACAGGACCACAAGACGGTCGCTGGTGGAGGACAACATCAACATCATCGTGGTTTCCGAGGGAAAGGGCGAGCCTATGCCGCCTACTATGAAGATGCTGACAACGACCCGGATCCCGATGACTGGCCTGATGATGATGGTTGGGAAGAAGGTTACTATGAATGGGATGACACTCAGTCCCATGCCACCTCACCGGTTGATGCGGATGAGGCCTTGGAGGACTTTGACACTGATGCTGCCTACTTTCAGACCCTGGAAGATGTTGACCCAGCTGAGCAGGCGGAAGAGTTCGACACGGCCTATGCCACGTACTTGGACGCCAGAAAGCGCTTCAACGAGATCAAGCTCAGCCGTGGATACCTTCCCATAGTGGCCCTCACCGACGGCAACATCTCTCCTGGTGCAGCATCGCCGCACTCCTCTGGGTCCCCGGTGTCTCCGGGACGTGGCAAAGGCAAGACAAAGAAGGGCAAGGGCAAAGGTGGTTCCAACACCATCCGATACCCACCCCGGGGCAAGGGGAAAGAGCCCGATCCGAAGGGGCGTGCCAGAGCTTCCAGTGGCCCTCCAACATGCCTACGTTGCGGGCAGGTTGGACACATGACCTACAATTGCCCGGTGCCAAAGGGCGGAGCCACGAAGCGGAAGACAGCCCCGACAGAAAGCACTGTCAACCACTCCGAGTACGGCCATGTGATCTTTACAGATCTTGGAGGCCACGAACGACATGACTGTGCCATGCTCGACCCAGGAGCCAGTGCATTTCTTTCTGGCTATGGCCCTTTCTTGCGCTACATGCTCAAGCTTAAGGAGACCAACTACGACATCACCGAGATCAAGTTCATGCGATGCCAACGAACCTTCTTTTTCGGAGGTGATGCCAGTTTGAACTGCACCTGGACTGTCCGCCTTCCTCTTCACCTTGGCGGCAAGCATGGCTACGTTCAGATGTATCTGTTGCCTGGCGAGACGCCTATGTTGCTTGGACGCCCCATCATGGAAGCCTTGGGACTGGTTTTGGATTGCCGCAGTCGGATGATCAAGTTGGATGACACCCCATGGCAAGATGCAGTTGTGGGTGCTCACGGTGAGTACTTGGTCTCTCTCCTCAACGAGTACGACAACGACATGTAGCAGTTTCCTCCCTCCTTTGAACTCATGGTCCCGGCTGATGGCGGCACCAGTGGCGATTTCTTGGACTTTGGCACTTTCAACAAGGAGACCAAGCTCTTTGACGACATCTCCAATGTGCAAGCCGCAGCACAAGATGGACTTTGTGCGCTCAAGCGTCACGTGCTGCAGACTTGCGATGTCACTCTCAACACGTTGGAGAACAAGCTTCACGCCTATGTCACGGAAGAGCTCCATCAACCATCCCGAAAGCGATTGCTCTGGGAAGTTTACTGCGGTGGTGCGAGGGTGTCTGCAATTGCAGAATCTATGGGCATGGATGTTGAGATCTTCAGCTATGAGACTGGTTGGGACTTCGACCTTGAAGAGCACCAGACAGCCTTCATGGAGCGACTCCGAACGGAGATGCCTGATGAGGTCTACTTGGCCCCAACCTGCGGCCCTTGGAGCCAGATGCAGAACCTGAATGCCAAGACAGAAGCCCAACAGCATGACCTCTACCTGAAGAGATCTCATCACCACGACTGCCACCTGATGTTTGTTGCCCAGATCTACATGGAGCAGATCAACAACGCCCGGCATGCACACATCGAACAACCAGAGCGAGCTCTCAGCTGGCGCACGACAGCCCTGAAGGATCTTCCTGGACACTGGATCATTCTGCACCAGTGCATGTTTGGCTGCGCCTGCCTTGACAAGGATGGGTGGTGGAAGTTGGTCAAGAAGCCCACTGGCATTCTCTCCAGCAAGACTTCAATGCAGGCCGCACTGGCCAAACTATGTGATGGACAACATGTTCACTGTCCCCTTGAGGGCTCGGCACCTGGACTTGGCCGACGCACCTCATACTTGGAGGACTATCAACCAGGCCTTGCAGGGACGATTGCAGCTGCTCTCTGTGCTCCTGACCCTGCTCAGCTTTGGGACTATGGCTTCGCCGTCTCTGAGCAGAAGGAGGTCACTGGATGCCTGGTCAAGCTTCAGACGGCATTGAAGACCGAAGCAGTTCGCACTGTGCAGCGATTGCATCGCAACTTGGGCCACCCCAAGCCTGAGGCACTTGTCGAACTCTTGCAAAGCCGTGGAGCTAGCGACCAAATCATTGAGGCAGCTCGCCACTTTCAATGCACAGCTTGCTTGCGCTACAAGCGCCCAAATCAGGTTGCACCATCGGCTCTTCGACATCAAGCTCGAGAAGTTGGTGAACGCCTGCAAGCCGATGTGCTGTGGATCAAGTGCAATGCCAGTGAGAAGAAGTTCCCAGTGCTCAGTGTCATTGACCAAGCCACCAAGTACACTGTTGCCACGGTACTTCATGGTGAACGTGGAGATCATCTCATACATGGGCTTGAGCGTGCCTGGATCAGACACTTTGGTCTTCCACAATGCCTCTGCTCTGACGAAGGACGCGGCTGGGTTGGCGAGGAGATGAACGCTTGGACAACTCAGCATGCCATCGAGCACATTGTGGCTCCAGCTGAGTCCCATCGACTTGCCTTGGTCGAGCGCCGACATGTCACCTTGAGGCGCGCCATCGAGATCTACATGGATGACATGAAGGTGACCGGTACAAAGGGCATCAGACAAGCCCTGACCTATGTGGTCCCACAGCTCAACGACACAGTGAGCGTGGCCGGTTACAGCCCATCTCAATGGCTCCTTGGCAAGGTCCCTCGACTTCCTGGTGGACTCATGCAGGAAGAGCTGGCTCCAGCCCATTTGGGAGGCCATGATCAATTTGAACAACTTCTTCAACAGCGAGCTGCAGCAAAGAGAGCCCTGATCTCTGCAGATCTTGATGCCAAGCTGAGACGTGCCCTTCTGCGACAGTACCAAGGCACAGACCTTCCTTTGCAGATTGGGCAGAAGTGCTTCTTTTGGAGGGATCAACGACAAGACCGCTTGGTCAAGATCAGATGGCATGGCCCTGCCAGGGTCGTCATGGTTGAGTACTCCAAGGACGAGAAGCCCGAGCTTTACTGGCTGGCTTACAAGACGCAACTGATCCGGTGCTCACCGCACCATGTGCGTGCTGACTTCACTGCAGCCGACACACAACTGGCCGATGCTCAAGAAGCACGACGTGAAGTTGCCTCACTGCGGTCCAGAGGTGTCACAAGGTTTCTGGACCTCAACAAGATCAACAGACGACGACGTCTTGAGGACTTCAACGAGGACGACATCGCCTCAGGTTCAGAAGCTGGCGACGATGATGCTGATGACTTGCAGCCACCAACAACGCGCCAGCGCACCTCCTATGACACCACAGCCCAGAGGCCTGAACTTTCTCTGGATGAGGCCATTCGAGAACTGGGACTGGAAGATGAAGATGAGCTCAGCATGGCACCGACCTCACCAGCTGACACACCTGCTGAGCATCCTGAGTTTCCTGGACAAGCACAACCTGCTGTTCTTCCAGCACCAGCTGTCCCAGCTCTACCGCCTCCAGATCAAGTTCCACAAGGCGACAATGTTGTGCCGATCAACGTCGATGAAGATGAGCCAGGCCAAGAACCTGCTACGCTTCCAACACTACCTCCAACACCTGATGATGCATCTGCGCCTGCACCTGACCCTTTTGGACTGACATCCACATCCTCTGCGCTCTACGAGCCTGCCCAAGAAGACTTCAGAACAAGACGGCTGAGGATGGATCAACATGAGACGATGCAGTTCACACCCTTTGGTCCCATGCGACGTGGTGCAGGACGCCATGAACCTTATCCACAACAAGCACCTCCTGCAGACCCACAGCCTGCTTCAGAGCTCTTTGGTCAAGCTTTTGCAGTCGATGACATTGGTGGTGGTGATCTTCCCAAAGGATGGAGCATCGATGAGCATGGCTACTTCCAGCTCGATGCCCACAACTTCCACGACTACTGGGAGGTCAAAGCTGGTTGCCTGATTCGACATCACTTGCAACCCAGACATCGCCGTCACGACATCACCAAAGAGAAGGACTGTCCCTTTGACTTGAAGCAGTTGGACCCAGTTCGTGTCACGATGATGCGTGCACCCAATGGCACCATCCAGGTCTCCACTGACCGCTTTGACACGGTGGTTGCGCCCAACAAGGCAGCCTGGACTGGACTCACTGTGTATCAACTGACAGGGGCTGTGAGAAAAGAGCTTGCCATGTATGCCACCACTCCTGCAAAGAGGGTTGCACGACAAGAGAAACATGCGGCCATAAAGAAGAAAGCCTCCTCTGAGCTCAATGAGCGTGGACTCACCATGCACGAGCGCGAGCAGTTCATGCAGGCCAAGATCAAGGAGCTTCGCAGTTTCTTCGAGAACGGAGTCTGGGAGTTTTCCAGCGTTCGGGATGCTGACCCGCAACGCACCTTGACCTCACGCATGCTGCTCAAGTGGAGCAAGAACCCGGACGGAAGTCCGCGAGCTAAGGCTCGATTGGTGGTCCGCGGCTACAACGATCAGGACGCGCTTGAAGGAAAGGTGGAAACCTCAGCTCCCACCACAAGCCGCCTGAGCCGCTCTATGTTTCTGTCTTTGTCTTCAATCCTGCAGTGGTGTGGATGGACAGCCGACGTTGCAACAGCATTCTTACAAGGACTTCCTCAAGAACGACAACTATGGGTCAAGCTACCCCGAGAAGTTCTCAACATCTTGGGTGCTGATGAGACGACCCGAATGCTGCTGCGCAAACCTTGCTATGGACAGATCGACGCACCGAGAAGATGGTTTCTCGAAGCTTCAAGGAGATTGACATCAATTGGGCTGCGCCCTCATATGCTGGATCCTTGCTGCTTCCTCATCTGCGAGGCTGACTTCCCCGACATTCAAGCCTCTGACCCTAGCAAGTGTTTGGGATCCGAACGGATCGTTGGCATGGTTTGCATCCACGTGGATGATATGCTTGGAGGTGGACTTGAAGAATCTTTGGTATACCAACACGTTGTCAAGCAGCTTCGACAGATCTTCAACTTCCGCGAATGGAAGGACCAGGACAAGCTGGAGTACTGTGGCGCAAGCCTTCAAAAGACCCCGACTGGTGGATGGAAAGTGGATCACGCAGAGTATCTGCGCAAGGTGAAGCCCATCTCACTTCAACGTGATCGAGGTCCTGAGGACTACATGACACCGTCTGAGGTCACCCAGATGCGAGGTTTGCTTGGGTCTTTACAATGGCCCGCCGTGCAATCACAACCGCACCTGCAGTGCTCTACATCTCTTTTGGCTGGACAAGTCTCTGCAGGACTGGTCAAATCAATCCATGATGCCAATCGCTTGCTCAAGTTTGCCAAGCTCAATGCTGACGTAGCACTTTGCTACGAACGCATCTGTGGTGTGCAAGATCTACGACTTGTCACGATGGTCGATGCAGCATTTGGCATTCGACGTGACGGATCCTCACAAGGTGGCTACCTGACCATGCTGGTCTCCAAAGACGTCTTTGATGGCACCGAAGGAGCCTACCATATCATTGACTGGCGCTCATCGAAGTTGCCACGAGTTGCCCGCTCGAGTCTTGGAGCCGAAGCCCAATCAGCAAGTCAGGCCTGCGACAACATGGACTTTGTTTGCCGCTTCTACCAACACCTTTTGGAGCCGAACGAGCCACTTGCCAACATCTTGCACAAGCCGAGCCCTTTGGAGCCCACGCTTGTCACAGACGCCAAAGCCCTCTACGACAGCTACTACAGAGAGAGCCTCAGCAGTGGCTTGACAGACAAGCGCACTGGATTGGAGATCAAGGTCTTGCGAGAAGGGCTGGAATCGCTTGGTGGCCGCTTGAAGTGGATCTCCAGTGAGAGACAGTATGCAGATTCCCTGACCAAAGAGGGCACTCGCCAATTGCTGGCAGACCGCCTTCGCTACGGAAGGATCAAGCTGTCTTGGGATCCTGACTACATCGCGGCCAAGCGCAAGAAGCTCTCAGACCGCAATGCCAGCAGAGATGAGTTCTCGCAGCCTCTTGCCACAGTTGTGGAAGAACCTGAGACCACTGAGGACGTCCCTGTGGAAACCTTTGCCTGCTTTGGCGAAGAGATCAACTATGAGATGAACAACTGGGATGAGATGTCTGGCAAGGCTGTTGCAGCTCTCAAGGAGCCACGTCCTGGCCAAGCCATTGACCTGAACTTCAACGACACCCTGCCGATTGTGCACACCCCGATCATGGACATCTCCTACGACCCGGAAACAAAGTTTGAGGGCGTATGGATGATCCTTTCTCTTCGAGCATTGCTGCGCTTTGCCTTTTGCATTTTCATGCTTGGACTTCTGCAACCACTTGGTGCTGCCGCTGCTCCTCTGAGCGATCCAATCACACCTGACACATGCCCCTATGTCGACGTCATCCAGGAGTCGAAGACTTCCTACTGGGACTTCTTCTGGGATGCCATTGTGGTGCTGACCTTGGTGGTCTTTGTGGTGGGTACTTACCTCACCGGATGGGTACATGGATGGTGGATTGGAAGAAATCACATATTGAGACAGAGGCACATCCGAAGTGATCGCCTGTCTGCCCGCTTGGACGAGAAGATAGTGGAGAACTGTGCTTTGCAGGACCAGATCGAGGAGCTGACCCGACAGGTCCAACAACTGACTGTTCCTGGTGGACCGATCATTGCAGATCGAGAAGTCCGACGCTTGCAGCAACAGCTCAAGAGCCTTGAAGCCAGTTTTTGGCAGAAGGATCAACAGTGCCGTCAGATGAACCGGCACAAAATGGGTTACGTGCGACAGATTGGTCGCTTGAGAGCCATCTTCCAAGAAGCGAAAGATGTTGTAGGCCGTGCCCGAGCAGAAATCCACAATCATGTGCACAACAGATGCACGGTTGGCCGACCAATCTATCATGCGCCTCGTGGACGCGTGTGGCATCTGGACGATCAATGCTATCAGCTCTACCGCAGTGCAGTCATTGAGTTGCATGCCTGCGACAACTGCGCAAGCTTCTATGTGACCCCATACATCCATGACATGAACAACACCACGCTGGCCCAAGACATGGACAACTTCATGGCGAATGGGCTTGCTGATGAAGATCCCGAAGTGCTGGCCGAAGCCTCGGCAATTCTTGATGATGAAGCCCGCCTTCGCGCTGCCGGAGTTCCTGACGAAGAGGTCCGAATGGCAATGCAAGCGCGCGCTTCAAGCAGTTCTGGCGTGTGAAGCCATTGGCCCTTTTGTTTTGATCCAAAGGATCACAATAGTCCGAAATGGACCCTTTCAATGAATGACTTTTCCCCATGTCAAGTTTGCATCCGCATCCTTTTGCAGTTGCTTCTTTCAATGCCATTTACCGCTGCTGTTTCCAAATCACAGTGGCGGGACGAACGTGCCATTTGTGGCTGACGCCGTGCTGCGCCTCTCGAAAAGGTGTGGCTGCCTTCACAGGCATTTGGGATTGGTAAGGACTTCGTGGGCCTTGACCGCAATCTTCACAATATTACATATGTACAAGGGGTAAACTCCTGCGTCGAACCAGTTCCGGGATCCCAATCACTGAAGAGTCGCCTGCTTCTTCCTGACGCTTCTGCATGATATCGCGCACCTGGCAACCCATATCGACCCATTCCCTGCATGGCCTCCCTGAGTTTGTTGTCCTCTAAGTGTGCACAAATCAACAACTTCTTTTACCCTCTGGTAAACTAACATAACTATGGAAAATCACCATTTTCAATGGGAAAATCCACTACAAATGGTGATTTTCAATAGCTAGATCATCACAAAAACAACAACATGACCTAAATATCCTCAATGAGTTTCCGGTTTTCAGCTGCATGTCATATATCCCAAAACCTATCATTTTATGGTCGATTTTTAGACATGGGCCCACGGTCCATGGTGGGCCACTTCACCCTGCTCCATCGCATCATTTGGTCCAAGAATTTTGACCTGTTTACTATGGTCTATGTGTTAAATCGATAGTGTAAGTATAGAACTATTGCATTGAAACTCCCGAATACTATGGTTCATGCCACTATGCTTCAATACTATGGGTTTTCTATAGATATTCTTGGTATTTCTTAGTTATTTTGTACTAAGTTAGCCCCATTCGCGCCATAGAAAATCCAAAAAAAAAACTGGGAACGGTACCTTATCCAAGGCCGGACTCACCAAGGCATCCATCTCCTGGCAAAAAGCAAGGTATGGCGCCATGGGTCAGAAGGTGTAACTGAATTGACTTTATATGATGGTTAATAAATGGTATATTATATATGATGGTCATTTATTATACCATTTATTATACCATATATGATGGTTTATATATTTGAATATGACTATGATATGTATGATAAATGGTCATCTATATAATTCCTGGAATGATCTACCTCGCTATTTTTCGTTCATTGCTCATCTGAAATTGGGCCATCATCATGCGGAACATCACCGCGAACCTGTCAACTTTGGGTGGGGAAACTCGTGCTTTTGGAGGAAAGCGATTGCAAAAGGTTGGGAATTCCCTATTTTCAGGAGGCAACCCTTGTAGATTTCCCAGTTCTGGTCTGGCTGTCGCAGTGGGCGTGCATGTGGCAAGGGCAATGATGTTTCTTAGTGTATCTACGGGGAAAATTCTCTGGCAATGTAGCAACTCCTGCCGGGGAGCAAGCACAAGTTGACATGTGAAAGAGATTATGGCTGTAACAAACCAACTCTGAGTTAGGTGACAAAAAATGACATGTTGAATGTCTTCAGAGTCTTTCAGGGTTGATGCCCCAACACAACGCAAGTGCCGGTTTTTGAATTCCTCTGATGTCGTGATTCAACCCCCAAGAACTCCTGGTATACAAAGGTGACTATCAACACAATCGAAGCGAGAAACCAACATGACAAAGGTACCCTCTGGTAAACTAACATAACTATGGAAAATCACCATTTTTTATGGGAAAACTCACTATAAATGGCAATTTTCAATAGCTATGTTAGTTTACCAGAGGGTAAGACCACACTTGAATGACAACTGAGGTGAGGCAACGGACCATTCCCAGACCTGAAAACTTTGGCTATCGCCTATCGCCCTATGGGACCCACCTCATCGAGGGCTGCTCGCAGCACCGCGCGAATCTCAGGTTCGCCTGTCCCAAAGATGGCGAACCCTCTGCAGCTGAGGTACGAACTCTCATCTGGCATCTAAGTATATATAGTTCGAAGTCTAGGCATTCTTGCGTTAAAACACCATTTTATGATATACTTATTATATCTGTAATATAATAATAATAATAATTAAAATAATTAATAATAATAATAATAATAATAATAATATATACATACATGATATATATATATATATATGTATATTGGTACATGATATGATATGATATGATATGATATGATATGATATGATATGTATATGATATGTATATGATATGTATATTATATGTATATGATGTGTATATGATATGTATATGCTGTACTTATTGGTGTGTTTTGTGTATACTTCTGAAGCCTGAGATTTTAATGAAGGGCCTCCTGGTTGGTGTGTCAATTGATTATTAAAAACATTTAGAAACTAAAAACCTTGGCTTATTGATCCTGCATTGGCAGCGCATGTACAGCAACCAAAAAAAAGAATCAAGAGAATGACGATCATTCTGCTCGCGGCGCAGCATCCCTCCGAATCCCCTATTTTTGGTGTATCTACAATCTACAAAGGGTGTAAGTAAAAAAGTGGGACCTCAGCTTCTCATGTAATCAAATGATGTATGTGGTCCATTTGAGCAGTAGAACTCCTGGCTTCAAGGGTCTCCAGTTTCCAAGTTAGCCTTGCGACGTGTCTGCGCCTCTGCGGCTCTTGCGACGGGGCTGACGGGGCTCCTGGCCATCTGGCCATGGAAGCCCGTCCCACTGAAAGCCCCAGGAGGTGGACGCAGGCAGTAGCGACATTGCCAGTGCATTTCATTGTTGACCGGGCTATATCTCCAAGTCTTGTTGACTATATCGCCTCATTTGTTGGTGATATTCCAAGTTTGTTGCCGAGAAACCTCCTGCTCCTGTCTATCTGATGGTCATCTCATACCACCATCCGTACCACCTACCCAACATTATGCGCAATGTGCCATGAAGAATTGGATCAAACAACAGAACGTCAACCCCGGAGTCAAAATCCCCAAGGCTGTTTAATTGAGGGTGGTACCAGTTCAGTGCCGGATTATCATTGTTTGGAAGGAACCCTGTTATCAATCAACAACTATTTGGATTCTATAAAAATTAGTGACCAACCAGGGTAACTAAATATAAGTCTTACTTTTTCTGGTTGGTTACTAGCCTGATAACATATTATGATATATGACAAGATGATCTCCCATTTATCCTTACCAACCCACCATTTTGCCCCCGCTCCTTCGATGCTTCGCGACTGACCGCCGCATGCCGCCGCTTCTGCGACGGCTTCATGGGCGGCGTCGACGGCTCGCGACCCGCCGTCGCGCGCGTGGCGCGCGTGGCGCGTGTGGCGCCTTTGGCGCTGCGGCGCGGCGTGGCCGGCAGAGAGTCGCCTTGGGGCGTGCCATGGGACCATGGGTGTCCATTTATCATCATTTACCTGTTGTTAAAGGGGTAAACAAACCCCTCTATTAATCAACCAATTAATGGGAAAAGGACATCTATGGTGTCTATGTTTGGTTTTATCTATGTAACTGTCAAACAGCTTTGCTGCGGCATGTCCAGGGCCAATCACTTCACAAAGACTGGAAAAACCTTATTCTGAGGTGGTTTCCTTTACCAACCTGTCTCCCACATGCCGGGCATTGCCGGGCCCTCCGACCCAGCAAGCGTCTACCGCTTTGCCTGGGCAGTTGAAAAAAACACCAATGGATTTGGGGATGGATCAAGTTACCTATGAAAACCCCTGAAAATACCTAAAAATACCCAATTTTTTGGGGATGAACATCCAGAACTAGCTTTTCTCGGGTGAACTAGAGAGAATGAATAAATGTCAATAACTGTCAATAGGCCGTTTAGTCATCTTGCAATCTGGAAGCAAGTGTGTATTCTGAGTTGAAATTAATAGGGGCTTGATTTGTCAACGACCCGTTGTGTGGCTGATTACCTACATCATGCATATTCACAGACCAAATGGGTGTTCTTATTCTACAACTATGCACCCAGTCAGCCACAGCGACTGTGGTACGTTTGGCCCGATGGTTGCACTGGGACAACGTAGCGTAATGCTGTGAAGTGTATTGATACTTTGGGACTCGAGTTGCCTGTCAAAAGACTTTGGATGTGGGTGCTTGCTAGAGCACTACATTCGGGATTCACCAGTTCAACAAAACAGACAGTCGTTTGGAGCCCTTAGAATGGATCAAACGGGTTAGAACCTAGTATGACATAGTGAAATTATGTGAAATTCAGATATGGGTCACAGCCCAGGGAAATCAGGGAAGTTATCAAGCAATTGGTCATCCTTTCACCCTTCCAGTCTCCCATTTTTAGCCTGTGCATGCCTTTGCACATTTTTGGACATGGAGTTTTCAGATCAGCTGGATGATTCTAGCGGGTCTCACAGACTCCAAACCTCTGGCATCCTCTGGCCATTCCTGGGCTTCCGCACAAGATACGCTCGGTCCACATAGGAATCCAAAGCACAATCCAAAGCACAGATGCGGAACGAAACGGCACTGGTGCTGGTCGAATTCTGAGCCAAAGATGCAGCAGGAAACGCCTTCCGGCTTGAATCATCATCCTTCCACCATCTCAAATCGCATGGGTAGATCAAATAACCCAGATTCATGCAACAAGAATGATACTTTTCCCTTTCAAACAGACCCTTGACCAGCAGCTTCAATGTTTTCCCACCGCGGTGGGTAAATATTATATTATATGCCCTCAATATTCTTCTCAAACCTATCTTCCCATTACTTTTCAGTGCTTCTCAGTTTTTGAATAGCTCTGGCTCCATCCCATGTCAAAGCTGGTCAGGGGTAAATCATTTTCCCCACGTAAACTGCTATAAAGCCGTTCCCCAACCCAACTCAACCCAACAAGCTAAGCTGTTGCTACATCCACTTCAAACATCTTTGAGTTCAATTCGTACTTTTGGTGGGGGCTAAGTTGGGATTGTCTGAGAAGCTTGGGGGAAAAAAACATGGAAAAACCTCGAAGTCCACCATCGTTGGCGCCTCGGCGCGGCGGTGCCGCCGTCCTAGGCTCAAAGCCTTCACGAACTCTTGGGCTTCGGCTTTTCCCACCTACGATGGCAGTGAAATGATGGGAAAAAACTAGGGAAAAATACACCGCTGGAGATTCATTTCGGATGGATTTTAGATGTAGTTCGGGTCCCAGAATCAATGTGTTTGAGCACAAAACTACTTGGTGGCTCATCCCACTTAGTAAGTGGGTTATAACCCCAGTTAAAAATGGGATAAGTAGGGTTAATCCACTTACCAAGTAGGTATTCTTGCGAGATGATGGGTCTTTTGACAATGGAACAGCTGACGACACATGAGTTTCTTCCTCAACGAACATAAATCACAGTGGCTTCCGCGTGTTTTGAACATTTTTGAACAACATCTGAAACGTCACACCTGCTAACATTACCCATGGGCATTCAGAACCACGGGTCACTCTCAGTTCAAACTAGGGCATTCCAGCACCATTGGGAATGAAATTGCGTCAACCCGAAGAGGCCCAGGGCTCCCAGCAGAGCCAGTGACTTTGGCGGAACCATTGAACTTGGTATCCAGCTCCTGCCAGCACGCTAAGAGCACGGCACGCTAAATGGTGGTTCCTGGATGGGCACTTATTGACGATGGATAGTGATGGATAATGAGGAATAGTGGAGGAGGAGGAGGAGGATGGTGGATGCAGGTTGAGCCGTCAAGGAAGATTCAAAGGACATCCAACCAGCCAGCATCTATCGTTAAACAAGGTACGAGTACCCCCAAAATTGGCTGCTTCGCACTAAAACCCCAGAATTCCTGGCTGGTCATTAGATATAAATTAGGATTTCCCACAATGTATTGTGATCATCCTCAATATGTTGCATAGATTTGCATAGTAATCCCCATCATCAACCAACTGGCAATTTTGAACACTGCTCAACTCGGCAACCCTCACCCGTGCATATTCTCTGGCTCCTCGCCAAATTTCTGCAGGGCTAGAAATTCAGGTCGTCCATCTCCATTGCTCGAAGGTGGTAAAGGTCGACAGCCCAACCTGGGTGACCAGGTTCCAATTACCCATCAGATCCCATCAGTAAGTGTCCCATCAGAGTGGTCACTTATAGATCCCATGAAAGATAGATGGAACATAAGTGACTTATTATTATCCACTAGTTACATATATGATCCACCATGTCCCTGTGGTCACCATGTTTATAGATCCCATGGTTAGTAAATTAGCAAATGCTGGTGGAACATGATGGAACATAACATGAACAGTCGTCGCAATCATAATTCTTTGCAAGCACTTTAGATCAACTACCATATATCCCCAATATTCCCCAATTAATGTCAAAAGGTTAAAGTATATTAAGTACCCATAGTTTACCCGGAAGTTGGGGGCTAGGATTGAAACACAAGGTGGAATATAATTTGGAGTGTTGGGGCTACTCCCATCGGAGGGGATATGTCGCTACCATCTGCCATGATTGGTCATGTATTCAGGTGACTGCCCATTGGACACTGTTAATGATTCCATGTCATTGGGTGGTGCCTAAAACTGGAATTTATACCCCCATAAAATTGCTACTTGAATACAGAAAAATAGTTAAACAAAATGATGCACTACGGGAAGTTGGGAATATGCAGAATACCAAAGTTTAATGAGACAGACTCTACATGGACTTCACTCAAACACATAGTCTCATACTCGCTGTCCCAAGTAGCTTTTGCAGCTACACATGGTGGTACCCTCTAATCACACCTGGCAATGGAACATCCCTCCTTTCATAGATGTTTTTTTCCCATTGAAATTTTTGAAATCCTCATTTACTTCGGGGATTTCCCAGCCAGCCATGTTTGATGACAGCGTTTCGGGTGTGAGTCACCGTCTCCGCTGTGTTTCCCTGCGAAAAGACCGCCCGATGTGCGGTTTCCAGGGGCAGCGACGTACCAGAGCTACCTTTCGTGAGCGAAGATCCGCAGTTTCACGGGGAACTTTTGTGATTGTCAAATTTTCAAAAAAATTGTAATGTAAAATCCGATACTAAAATAGTGATCAAATACTATAGGGGACGTTCTTTTGTCTAGCAATCCAAGAAGAGATATAAAAAGGATAGGGACAAGCAACAGCCTGCTCAATCACACATGTCTATTTTTCTTGGGGGGCACTTTACTGCCCACCACTTTTCCATAGAAATGGATAAGAATGGGAAATTAATGCCGGTAACTATTGGATATTAAGCGAGCTACTCACAGCCATACTAATGCTAATCACACACTGACTGATAAACAACCTAATCGATCACGTGAGCGATGTTGAACCTTAAACCGTAATCCATCCAACAGTTGAAATCACCAAACAAAGGCAGCACCAACTTCAATGTTGCATGCTTTACAAATACAGCACCAGTAGTACCGCACAAGGCGGTGGCGGAAGTTTCAAAAATAGGAAACCTATAGGAGAGGTTGGTTGTTGTGAATCCCGGATGGCAGAGTGAATCCGCTGATGGACCGAAAGATGGTTGGAATGTCGAGCTGTCCATCTGTCTATCTATGATTCCATCCATCCATCCATCTATCCTTCTTTACTGTCTACTGATCTATCTCTCTGTCAACCTATCCATCTCTCTGTCTTTCCGTCCATCTGCTTAGCTCTCTATCTGTCTACGCAGCCGTCCTTTCATCATCCTATTTTTTCTATGTGTCCATCTGTCTATCTTTCTTTCTATTTCTCTCTTTCGAGCTCTGTCCATTTCCTTGTCTCTCTGTCTGTCTGTCGTCTTGCGGTCTGTCCATCTATCTAGCTGTCTATCTGCTCATCCAGCTATCCATTCTATCCATTTATGTACCGAAGCATTTCACCCACCCATCTATCTAGTTCTTCATCTTTCCATCTAGACAGTTCGACAGAAAGCAGGTAACATTTGCACAGAAAAGACACAGAGCGATCAAACCCGGGTTTCAGTTGTGGTTTCAGTTGTGGTGACAACAGCGAGACTTTCTCAATTTTCGAAGTTGACAAGAGCAAAAACGAAGCAATTCTGCGAGACTTCCTCATTTTTCGAAGGTGACAACATCAAAAACAAAGCCATTCAGCGAGACTTCCTTCAAAACTCGAAAGTTGAGTGCAGAGCTCACGGCCTCGTGCGTCTTGCGATCTTTCCAGTCCATGTGTCTAAAGTACTGCGCCGACGAAAAAGTGATGCCAAGTCATACGAAGTGCTGCACCCGTCACGCAAAATCATCTCAGCAAACCTGAAGATCTGATGCTCCAAAATGCAACCCCTCTCAGGAAATCAGCGCCCTGACCTCCGAACAGCTCTGATGAACATGTCTCTTGTACTGCGCCTGCCGCGCGAAAGACATCTTGCCAGATCCTCTGCAAATGTCCCACGCCCACGCCTGCCATCGTTTTAGGAAATGCTACAAACCCCTCACGTTCTGCTCACTTTTGTCAAGGTGCATAATCCCTTGTGCCTGCCAAGCAAGACGACGTCTGAACATCCAAAAGTGCTCCGAACACGTCAGTTTTTTACACTTTTGACTTCGAAATGTGCTTCACGCCACAACGGCGTGCGCGTTTTTGACATCTCAACTTTCAAAAGTGGTCCGAGCATGGTGTGCTTTGTGCATTTTGACTTACACATGTGCTTCGCGCCACAACGGCGTGCACTTTTTCGACATGTCAACTTCCAAAAGCGGTCCGAGAATGCTGTGCTTTGTACATTTTGACTTGAAAATGCGCTTCGCGCCACAACGGCGTGCACTTTTTCGACATCTCAATGTCCAAAAGTGGTCGGAGAATGGTGTGCTTTGTGCATTTTGACTTGGAAATGTGCTTCGCGCCACAATGGCGTGCACTTTTTCGACATCTCAACTGCCAAAAGTGGTCCGAACCTGGTGTCAGTTGCGCACTTTGACTTGGAAATGTGCTTCGTGCCACAACAGCGTGCAACTTTTCATCTCTTATCTGGCCACATGGCTCCGCACCCGCCGCTTTAGAGAGCCTACTTTTCGACTCTCTGGAGACACAAATCACTGGAAACATAGTGTTTCGCGCGCACCTGCATCTTCTTCCTTCTGACTCTTTCTCTTCTCTGATTCTATTCTCTGACTCTTCTCACCTCTGCTTTTCCATCTGTCCATATTGTCGGAAGTTTGACAACTTCCTTCGATAAAATGCATACAAACATATTTTTATATAGAATACGATGTTATATAATGTTATATATAATACATACATATATATATAATATCAACAAGACTCTGCGGGGCCTGGGTTGGGTGCCAAAACTGCGAAGGCGCGAGCCTCAAGGACGACGTGTTTACCCGGGCCCCAAACCATGTCATGGGGATTCAAACCGAAGAAGATGGGTCCGGGTGCACCTCTAGGGGGGTCCCAAAGGAGCCCCCTGCGATCATCAGGGGGGTTGAACACTGCTCAGGTATTGGGGGGTAATGATTTGAAGCCACCAACTCAGTAAAACTGTTTGTGCCAACAAGGATTAGGACACTCTGACTTCCAGGTTGATGGGAGATGTTTGAATCCAGGCCCCAAAAGACAGCGTAGCTATGCTCTCTCAAATCTGTGAACTAGAACAGGAGGGCGCCATTGATCTGAGTCAACTTGGGCTCAAATGACCAGAAACTGCTTGAAATGGCAACCCTCCCCCACCAAGACACAGGAACACATGTCCTGCAACCCCCAAAGAACCGGCACGTTTTTCTCCGGGCATCCTTTGCTGCCAGAACCGAGAATGTCATCCATGGTGAAGTCATGGTATCTTGCCCGCTTGCGAAGTGCTTCTCTTCTGCAACGTTCGGCCTTTTGACTCTCCTTTTGTTTCCGCACTTCCAAACGTCTCTGCTCCTCGCGCTGCCTTTTCCGCTGCTGCAGCAGTTTGCGTCGCTGTGTCTCCAGTCTCTCGGCATTCTTCTGCAGCGCACAGGACCATCGGGCCAGCACTTGCTTCAACTCCGATAAGCTCCGGTTCAAAACATCTGATGCCGTCCTGGGTCTCCTGGTAGTGGTCCCGTTCCGTCCTAGCAACTGGTGTCTTCGCCTATCCTGAGTTGACATATGTTGAGTCTCCCAAAGTTGAAGCGACTTGTCGCGGACAGTGGCGTTTGCCTCGTAGAGGGCATGGAGCCTCCGCATCATACCTGGTTGAAGTTCTCAATCCACCCCAAACCTGCATGCAATGCGATATAATAGCTATTAGATCAATATTGTTCATACATTTAGCGTCCTAAATGTGCATTTAAAACAAACAAACTAGTATAAGAAAAGCATGGCTGAAAGCAAAGAATCAGATACTGCTACTGTCCAGCCCTGAGGCCTCCCATGTTTCAGTCACAGCCCTTTGAAAGTTTTCCCAGGCTTCCAGCAACTGGGATGGGCTGTAGCACCAGTAGATGCTTCCACGGCCTCCAATACTCTTTTGCATACTACGCCGGAAAGGATCCAGGCATCTGCGAAACCGACCCAGTTCCTGAACACTCCGAACGGTGGGAGAGCGAAATTCCGTTCCAATGAAAATTCTGAAGGAATACACCAAACAGAAGCGAACACCAAGATCTGCATACTTCTTTCCCTGCTCTGTAGCGGATGACACTAAGGCTGATTGTAAACGTTCCTCCCAAGTATCTCTTGTCTCTCTGCCATCCAGCATTTTATGCTTCACAGATGTAAGAAGCAGCAAGTATTCCAGAGCTGTTGGCAGGTCGCATTTGGCGGTCCACATTTCAATATGCACTGAATCGAAGCGAATGACAGCCACATAGCTCCCTCCTTGTCCAGTTGAGCGATTCTTTCGGATGCAGCCGCACACCTTTCTCGTTGTCCTTGCCTCTGCCCTGCATGCCTTTCGCTTGCAAGATTCCCTTCGAGACATCCTGGAGCTGAATTTCCATGAAGTGGGCACTATGGCCAAGGCACCAGTTCCTCCAGGCACACCATGAGACATAGATGACATAGTTACATCATGTTCCGCACCATTTGAATTGGCACAGAGCTTCGGATCTTTTTGCTGTGGGAAAGTATCCACCATCCACTTCTCCAGAGACAAGCGCTGCTTCTGCGAGAAGTCTTTCGTGATCACCTCATTCCGCACATCCCGAGGCAACTTTTTCAACAGCTCGTGGATCTTTCGCATCCACTGCATCTGCTTGGAGCATGAACCCGCGAATGTTGCGTCGGCAGCTCCAAACTTGGGACCGGAGCCAGTCTGTGGAGCAGATGGGCGGTGACACCTGCTATGGGCAGATCGTTTCTTGTGATTTCTGTTGCTCCTGGTCGATTGTTGTGGGATAGTTGACGTCAAATTTATACGCTGGTCATAGCGCTTGCGAGTTTCTGGATCCGACAAAGTCTCAAGGGCTTGGTAAACCAAATGAAAGGCCTCCTTGCTGCCACCTTTGTCCGGATGGACTTGCAAGGCTTGTCTTTTGAAGGCCAGCTTGATCTCGTCCAAAGTGGCATTTCGATTCACCAGCAGCACATCATAGAAGGAGCGGACCATAAGTGGTATCAGCACTGAGTTTGGGCTACCAGGTCTGTCTTGCTTTAGCAGGCATGTATCTGGTGGCTGTTCTGAAACCAAGCTTGCAAATTCTTGCTCTACAACTCCAAAATGTGGTGTGGGCAAGTGGAACAAGGAAGTGCAAAATGCAAACATCGTGTTCACTCACTTCATCATCTGTTGAGAATTTTAACAAAATGGGTGAAGGGAATATCACTGCCATGTTCCTTTCGGATTGGAGGTTTAGTTTGAGAATCCTTGCTGAAGAGGTGGCAAATTTAATTGAACCGAACCTCCTCCAGCCCTCTGTGGCTTCATGAGAAACTCCAAAGAAACAACGGGAACTGCCAGGACCCGGTGGATTCCAAGCGACCATCTTTGAGAAAATCATCTGGATCGGAACTCTCATGGAGCACCGAACATTGAACCAAAGAGAATAAGGATCTAAACAAAAAAGGAATGTGGAGACTGACCCTGGCAAAAGATCTAAACCAGGCACAGAGTCAGATAAAGTTGTTTGGTTGCTCCATATGCAGGCAAGCTATATGTGCCCTCCCTCCTTTGCTATCGAGGGGCTGCAGGCTGCAGGGTGTCAAAAATCGAAAATCCAACAAAAAGACACGTAGACAGACAAACAAACCTAGTCAAAACATCCATGACCCAACAAAACCATCTTAAAAAGGTAAAAATTTGCCTCACAGGTCAGGCTGGGGCAGCAATAATCTGTGCTCCGGGCCAGACCGTCCTCGGTAGTTGGCCCTTGGCAGAGGTAAGCCATCAACTGCCTGGATGGCAAAGCGAAAGCCCGGAAGCCCGACTTTTGAACGCCCTAAATGGACATTTTGTACAGGGATCTCCGTTGCGAGCCGTGACTTTTCGCAAGTGAAGCATTTATTTTGGGATAAAAACATGTTTCATGTCGGATCTATGGGTTTCCTGCTGCATTTTCAACCAATTGAGCAACCCAAGGGGTACGACTTGTCGCTTGCCTCACAGAGATATGATCCTTGGGAGGCTCGCGCAAGACGGGCTCCTGGTGATTCACAGAGACCCAGCATCACCAGAAGCATTGCAGCTAGCACCCCCTCTGAAGTGGAATATGTATGTATATATATACATATATATATATCTTTAAATACAATGATATGTGTGTTATTTATTTGCTGCATTTGACTCTGTGCCAAGACAGGTGCAAGCATCTAAGAGTCATTCAAACATCTTTGCCTTCAGACAAAAGCGTGCTGTTCTGATCATTGGCTCATGCATTCCGCATTCATATATATATATATGAATATATATATATATAGAGAGAGAGAGAGTGTGTGTGTGTGAGTGTATAGAAATATATGTGTATATATATATGATTATATATATATATTAAACAGTTATCACTTAG